CCACTGTGCCTGGCCCATATCCCAAATTTATGTCAATAATTAGCTTGGAGAAGATAGGAGGAGCTCAGTTGCTGAGGGGTTAGTGGGGGCAAAAGAACATTTAAGCTTTTTAGCCGGGCATGGTGGGGCGCACCTGTAGTCCTAGCTACTTGGGAGGCTGAGGCAGGGGAATCGCTTGAACCCAGGAGGCGGAGGTTGCAGTGAGCTGAAGTTGCACCACTGCCCTCCAGCCTGGCGACACAGCGAGACATCCTCTCAAAAAAAAAAAAAAAAATTTACTTTATGTCTAATGTTGTAACTTTTATTTATTTTTTATTACTTTTTAAATTGAGACAGAGTTTCTGTCACCCAGGTTCGAGTGCAGTGGCACAATTACGGCTCACTGTAGCCTCCAACTCTCATGCTCAAACAATCCTCCCACCTCAGCTTCCTGAGTGGCTGGGACTACAGGTGTACACCACATTTGGCTAATTTTTTATTTTTTGTAGAGACGGGGTCTTGCTATGTTGCCCAGGCTGGTCTCAAACTCCTGGCCTTAGGTGATTCTCCCACCTTGGCTTCCCAAAGTGCTGGGATTATAAGCATGAGCTACCACATCTGGTCTAATGTTGTAATTTTTAAAAAGGAATAGAGTCAGTGTATTATTTAATATTAATAAAAATTTTAAAATCCAAATTTAAAAAAAGAGTTGTCATATTTATAAAATAAATTTGTGGCTGGGTATATGGCTTGCACCTGTAATCCCACACTTTGGGAGGCCGAGGTGAGAAGATCACTTGAGCCCAGGAGTTCAAACCCAGTATGGACAACATAGGACATAGTCTGGATTCATCTCTGCAAAAAATTAAAAAAAAAAAAAATTTAGCCGGGCACGGTGGCTCAAGCCTGTAATCCCAGAACTTTGGGAGGCTGAGACGGGCGGATCACGAGGTCAGGAGATCGAGACCGTCCTGGCTAACCTGGTGAAACCCCGTCTCTACTAAAAAAATACAAAAAACTAGCCGGGTGAGGTGGCGGGCGCCTGTAGTCCCAGCTACTCGGTAGGCTGAGGCAGGAGAATGGCATAAACCCGGGAGGCAGAGCTTGCAGTGAGCTGAGATCCAGCCACTGCACTCCAGCCTAGGCAACAGAGCGAGACTCTGTCTCAAAAAAAAAAAAAAAAAAAGTAGCCGGCTATAGTGGTGCAAGTCTGTAGTACCAGCTACTCTGGAGCTGAGGCGGGAGGATGACTTGAGCTGGAGAAGTTGAAGCTGCAGTGAGCTATGATCATGCCACTGCAGTCCAGCCTGGGTGATAGGGTAAGACTCTTGTCTTAAAAAAAAAAAAAAAAAACTTGTCTGGATTCACAATTAGATCTACAAAAACAAATTTTTTTGAAGAGGGTAGTTATGATAAATGGAGAGTTTAGTTTTGTCAGGGAAAATAATGTCAAGCCTTGCCCTGCCGCTCCTTCACTTCTTCAATAATTCCTGACTCATTAGTTTCAAAACCATTAATACTGTTTGGCATGATTGAAAAATGCTGGAAACATTCCAGTTCTCAGAAGTTCAGGCAGCCAAACTGGTTTTTCATTTTTTATTTTCCTCCAGGAATATGGTGCTGATTATCACCTTCCAGTCACTCTTAAAAGAAACAAGAGTAGAGTCAAACAATTCAATGAATACATACTGAATGCTTAAGTATTTTAAAAATATCAAGAACCACTTGGAGTTATAAAAACAGATACTCCATAAGGAGATTAAATAATTAAGCCATATAATTGTGTTTTCATTTTTTTCTTTTTTTTTTTTTTTTTTTTTCCCGAGATGGAATCTCGCTCTGTCACCCAGGCTGGAGTACAATGGCACGATCTCGGCTCACTGCAACCTCTGCCTCCTGGGTTCAAGTGATTCTCATGCCTCAGCCTCCTGAGTAGCTGGGACTACAGGCATACACCTCCATGACCAGCTAATTTTTGTATTTTTAGTAGAGACAGGGTTTCACTACGTTGGCCAGGCTGGTCTTGAACTCCTGACCTCATGATCTGCCCGCCTCGGCCTCCCAAAGTGTTAGGATTACAGGCATGAGCCACCTCGCCTGGCTGTGTTTTCATTTTTAAAGCGCACCACAATTCACCTGAGATATGGTGGCTAGTACAGACCATTCTCATTGTGATAGCACTGGGAACATTAGATAAAACATCAGGACGGTCAGATGATTGGGCCCTAGTATACCCACTGTGCCTAATAGGCAGCAGCTGTTCATATCACAGGCATGCGGCAAAATTTAAAACATCATTTCACATGCTGTCTCTCTATACTAGTCCTTTATCTAATTGGGGTGGGGTTGGTATTTCTGCAGGCAGCATCCTACGTGTATAGCAACTAGAAACAGGAAAGATATATATGAGAAATAGATAACTCAAGTAATGAGAAAAGCTAATAATAGAATGTCCTGCTGAATCAATTCTTTGGTCTCCTGGTGGCTCCATTTAATGAGTTTTCAACACGCTACTCCTGGAATTCTTCAGGAGCTGTCCTAAGCCACATCTATCTGCTCTCTTCTATCATGGAACAGTATGAAAAGAAATAGTATGCTTTATATTGCTAGGTAGGTAGTTTTATTATACTGTTACATAGAGCTCTTTCCACGAAAAGTGTTTTTAACATGAACTGCCCATTCTGCAAAGAGGAAAAATATGTTGAATTAGGTAAATACCCAATTCAAAAGATGTTACAGTAAAATACATATAAGACTTACAAAAAAAAAAAAAAAAGGACAGAGACACAATTTCTTATCCTCAATTCTCATCTCCAAAAAGCTATGAAAACCAGTTTCTTTATAAAGTTTGGTGACAAAACCTGACCAAACTTGATCTGAGGCTTTTTATGATCTTTAGTTATACTTAGTGGGGATGTTCATAAATCACCACAAAAATAGGAGTATATTTGATAATGAGCTGCTATCCCAGACTTTTTTCAGTAGTTTTGAGTGAAATATTTTATACAGATCCTATTAGTTTTTGAATATCTCAAACATTTTGATAGCAAAACACAACTAGACCTAAATTTTCAAATACAGGATGGCAAAGCAATATTTCCCCAAACTGTTAATGATACAGTGATTCTACTAAATCCAAAGATAGTTCCAATAAATATTTTTGTCCCCTCGTATGTCATGAGGATGAATCTCCGGGAAAAGAAAAAGGGCATGTGAGAACAATGTGCAGGCTGTGTGAAAAGTGACACATGATTTTATAAGTGATGTAGCTGTAAGACACTGTGCAATTACCAGAAGTTATTAACCCACAAAGATAACATATTGTGTTGTTGCTAATAGTTATCTCCCCAAAACTGAAAAGTCCCATTCTTTTCAAGTGCTTAGATACAGTGCTTTAGGACATTCTTATTCAGTAGTTCTAGTGCTTAAAATATATATATATATTTTTTTTGAGATGGAGTCTCACTCTGTTGCCCAGGCTGGAGTACAGTGGTATAAACTTGGTTCACTGCAACCTCCACCTCCGGGTTCCAGCAATTCTCCCGCCTCAGCCTCCTGAGTAGCTGGGACTACAGGCACGCACCACCACACCTGACTAATTTTTTGTATTTTTAGTAGAGACGGTATTTCATCATGTTGGCCAGGCTGGTCTCGAACTCCTGACCTCAAGTGATCCACCCGCCTCGGCCTTCTAAAGTGCTGGGATTACAAGCAGGAGCCAATGTGCCCGGCCCAGGATATTCTTATTCAGTGCTTCTCAACTTGGTTAAGCATTAGAATCTCCCAGAGAGCTTTGTAAAAATACCCATGCATGGGCCTCATTGTCCAACATTCTGACTGACTTGGTCTAGAAAGGGCCCCTGGCAACAGTGTTTTAAAAACTCCTTACATGACGATTCAATGTACAGTCAGAGCTTTAAAACGTCTCAATATCCAGACTGTACCTTAGATCAGATAAATCAGAATTTTGCAGTGTGAAACCCAGACATCAGTACTTTTTTAAAAACATGCCCTGGTGGCTGGGCACAGTGGCTCACATCTGTAATAGCTCTTTGGGAGGCTGAGGTGGGCAGATCACTTGAGGTCAGGAGTTCGAGACCAGCCTGGCCAACATGGTGTAACCCTGTCTCTACTAAAAATACAAAAATTAGCCTGGCATGATGGTGCACGTCTGTGATCCCAGCTACTTGGGTGGCTGAGGCATGAGAATCGTGTGAACCCGAGAGGCAGAGGCTACAGTAAGCCGAGATCATGCCACTGTGCTGGAGTTCAGCCTGGGCCACAGTGTGAGACTCTGTCTCAAAAAACAAACAAACGAAAAAAGCAAACATGCCCTGGTGCTTCCAATATATACCCGAAGTTCTAACCCAACTGTTGCAACCCCCTGATCTGACTGGCTTAAAGATTAAGGGTGTGATTGTTTTTTTTTTTTTCTGTCCAGAAGTAAGTCAGTTCTAGATCATCACCACAGTAGGGCCACCAATAAAGAATTGTAAGCATTATCCACTCTGCTGGTGGTATATTCATAAATTCTTCCCCATTTTCTTTAAAAAAGCAAAAGGGGCAGGAGGAAGAAGGTACAGAAATCACATGAAAAACATTTAAAAATACTTTTAGTAAAATACTCTGTACCATGTCAAAACTCCTTTGGCACACAGTAAATCATAGTGAAGAACAAAATTGAAAAGCAGAATTTGCCTTAGTTGAGGCTACAGTGTAAGAGAGAATACAACTTAGACGGTAATAATAGAAAACCATAGCATTTTCCAGCAATTGATATGATAGTAAATTCATAAAGAAATACAATAATTTCCCAATGACTCTTAACTGTTCAGGATGCCAATGCTAAACCAGGCTGCCATATATAATTCAAAGAAAGCTAGAAAATACATTCCACATACTAAATTGAAGATAATTTCTGCTCAGAGAGCAACTGAAACATATAGTAAGGTATACTTTTTTTAGATGTAAGATAAAGTTCTTTTGCTTTTAGTTAAAATAACTTTTTTCATACATTCTAATGGTCATATGAAAAAGGTATTTACTTTTTTTCATCACTAACCCTGAGGAAGGAAGAACAAATGTGGAGTAGGCCACAAAACTCACTAGGAACCAATCTCCATACTTTTACCAATTGTGAATAGCAATTAATGGGAGAAGTTCAGGATACTATACTTATTTAGGCTTCCATACACATCAGCTCGAACTACTTAAAATAGACATAACATTTGGGCAACTAGCACAGTGGCATTTCTCTGCTTCAACTGAGAACTATTTTAAATATCATCACTTTTATTTCCCACACTGGTTTAAACAAACAAAACAAAATAAGACAAAACTTGACACTGATTATGTGAGAACTTTCAGTTCAATATATAGCAGTATGTAGGGACAATATAGCTTCATTGCTCAAGACTTCCATTCAGCAGAAAAAAATATGCGTAAGTTCTTGGAATTCTTCTCTTTCACTAGAAAGATGCTAGCTGTTACAGGGGAGTTGATGAGAGCAAAATGTGAAATCCCATCACAATGGAATATAGGAGGAGCTGGCATTTCTGCTTTGCCATTACAATTATTCTTCTTAGGATAGAAGTTGGAATTGCAAATTTAGCTGGACTTATCAGTTCCAACCTGTGGAAATGAAATAAAGTTCATCCCCTGGGCCAAAAACCCCAAGCAGCAGTTGGAAGCAAGAGGGCAATAAGAACAGAAGAAAACAGATTCACCGCATTGTTATCAAGAATGGGTTTCCCTGCTATGTGCTTTGCCTCATTTGTTGGGCTGTTGACCACCATGCCAGTGCTTTCATCCAACCCTGGAATGGAAAAAGAAGCAAGTGAGGTAGAAAACCCAAACGACTTGATTTTATTTTTTCTTTTCTTTTTTTAAAATTATACCTTAAGTTCTAGAGTACATGTACTTGATTTTTTAAAAAGAACAAAATAGGCTTTTTCCTCCAAAGGAGACAATCTTTGAAAGGTTCTAAGTGACTTGCTAAATGACTTTAATGGATCATTTATATGATGAGAGATATGGGACCCCTGATTATAAATGGCCACTTTGAATGCTCAGTAATTTTCTGTCAATATCTCTGGAATTGCTTCAGAAGTGGAAGAGAGAACATGAAAAGCAGAGAGGGCATGAAAATGGCAGGTTGGGCCTGCCTTCCCAGTGGTTCCCCTCCAAGACTGATCTATGAGGTCCCTGGGAGTAGGGATCATGTCTTTGGCCACAGTACTGTAAATGCGTGGTTGAGCATGGGGCTGGCACAAAGGAGGCACACGAAGATTTACAAAATCTCCCCTACTGCACGCATTTCTTTTCAACCCACTCAATGCAATCAGAAACTTTCCCAGTTAGAACCTAATTTAGAATAAAATTCACACTCTTTAAAAAACATGTTTACTGTCTGTGTGTGCGTGTAGAGTTACTGACCCTTTAGTGAGAATTAAGATCAGATTCCTTCATCCTTAAAATCTAAATGAGACTAACAAAATGGAGAACAAATATTCTGACTGATGGGGAGAGGGGAGGAAGGGCACATAAATTTTCTGAGGCATGAAGAGCGCTAGGAGGACTGTACTGAGAGAACCCTTCTCTAGCCTTCCAACCTCTTCCTGATGTCAATCAAAGGAGAAACATGGTTGATGAGAGTGAGGAGCAAATACACACCTAACAGAATATGTGAGTACACTGATAGGATGGGAGAGCCTTAGAAACAAAGCACAGAAAATTTTGAGAAAAACATACTCTACCACTCTACCAGATATTTTTTTTTTTTTTTTTTTGAGATGGAGTCTTGCTCTGTTGCCCAGGCTAGAGTGCAGTGGCATGATCTCGGCTCACTGCAAGTAGCTGGGATTACAGGCAGGCGCCCCCATGCCAGACAATTTTTTTATTTTTAGTAGAGATGGAGGTTCACCATGTTGGCCAGGCTAGTCTCGAACTCCTGACCTCAAGTGATCCAACCCACTTGGCCTCCCAAAGTGCTGGGATTTGGATGTGAGCCACTGCACCCAGCCACCTACCGTATATCTTGATTGAAGCAAAAAACTCAGGGGCAAGAATAGCAAGCATGATACCACAGTAAAAAAGTAGGTGGTATGTATAGTCAGACTAGTACAATTATCCCTCAAATGGAATAGGAAAATGAATGGAAGGAATTTTATTAAAATGATATGATCCAAAATGTCTTGCTTTTCTGGGATTAGGTAATGGCCCACACAAAAGCGTCTGTTCTCTGCACTACTGTATCTTCCCCACACAGCTGCTAATCATTGCTGTGCAGGACTAATTCGACTAATTCTCTTTCAATTAATTTAATACAAAAGAATAAGAAAACCAAAATTGTGAGAGACTTTGCCCTATCATTTCTAGTCCCTCAACACCCTGTGTCTTTGGATTTGTTTTCATTGTTGACATTTTTTCTTTCTTTTCCCTATTTCTTTAACACACCAATAAGTTGCAAGAATGAAGGAATGTTCTTACCAGTATACTGCATTATAGCCCCTAAGTATGAGTCCACAATTGATCCTAGTAATCCAGCTAAACCACCAAATGCAATAATTGGCCACTGGGGGGCAGAAATGTCTAAATCATTCACAAAAATCAGCTGTGTGAGGAAGTATGCAATGCCCACAAAGGTACCACCAAGGAGACTAGAGACAAGGCCCACCACTGTAACGCCTCCATTGGTACCTGAAGAAGAAGAAACATGTAGAAAATCATCTGGTTAATAATCAGCAAACACATAAAGGCAAGGACAGCAAGGTACCTATCTAATCAAGACTAATTTAAAGAAAGCATTCTCTTTAAAGCAATCTAAATACTGTAGCTATTTAGAAAATAGTATTTTCTCCTCAGTAACTCTCGACAATTTAAGTGATGAAGCAGAATGGTTCAACGAAGCCGGACTCCCTGGTTTCAATCTTGCTTCCGCTTCTCTCTCTCAATCTCTCTCTCTCTTTTCAGAGACAAGGTTTTGCTCTATCAACCAGGCTAGAGTACAATGGTGTGATCATAGCTTACTGCAGCCTCCAACTCCAGGCTCAAGTGATCCTCCCACCTCAGTCTCTCTATTAACTGGGATGACAGGTGTGAGCCACCTTGCCAGGCCCAATTCTGCTACTCTTAAGCCGTGTGACTGTAGTTAATTTATCTAACTTCTTTGTCCTTTAGTTTCTTTATAAGACAGAAATAATAAAAGAACCAATTCATATGATTATTAGGAGTACTAAGTGGCAATCCATGTAGAGCAGTTACAATAGTGCTCTGTAGTAGGTATCTAAAATGTGTTAGCTGTTATAATGATGATGAAGAAGAGAAGAAAAAGGAGGAGAAGGCGATGATGGGGGATAGGATGGGGTAGAAAGAAAAGAAGGGGACGAAGAGGAAGAGAAGCATCAGAAGACAAAAAGAAAAAGCAGTACAGGTTGAGTATTCTCTTTACCCGAATTGCTTCGGACTAGAAGTGTTTTGGATTTCAAATTTTTTCAGAGTTTGGAATATTTGCGTTAATTTAGACTTACCAGTTGAACACCCAAATCTGAAAATCGTAAATCTGAAATGTTCTAATGAACATTTCCTGTGAGCATCATGTCAGTGTTCAAAAAGTTTAAGATTTTGGAGCATTTTGGATTTTGGATTTTCAGATTTGTGATGTTCAACCTATGTAGTTGTTGATAATGTTGATAATGGAGAATTGAGATATATGTTAAAGCACTGATACCATAACAGGCCCTCAATAAATATTCCATTGTTCCCTTTCTTTTCCTTCCCTACTGATATGTTTGCAAATCAGTCTCTAAGTTCCTGTATTGCTTATCTAGGTCTTGCTAACATTTCCTGCAAATACTATTTATTATTACCAATTTAATAGTCTATAGAAATTTTCCAATTATTAAAGAGACTAAATAAAGTTTTTAAAAGGCTCTAAAATAAGAAATACATTAAATCAAGAGGTTTTTTGGTTTTTTTAAAGAATCTCAAACCAAGACTCACCAACTGTGTCTACCAATGGGTCAAAAAGAAGAAAAGGACTCACCAACTGGAACTTTCTCCCAGGTTGTTATCAGTCTTGGAGGACTTTTACTCAGAACTGTGCCAACTTCTGAAGCCCATGTGTCTCCAGCAGAGCAGGCCAGTGCAGCCAAGAGAGACAAACACATCCAGGAAGCAGAGTACTGCTTGGAAAAATCGACTGGGATTTCCCCAGGGCCATTTTCTATCATGTACAGCAGGGCCAGTTCTGTGGGTACAGCTCCATTACAGAATACCTGAATCCAATTCCTTTGCCCACCTGGAAACAAACAGATGAAAAGGACAAACAAATGCTTTCTCCTTAGAAGAAAAACCATGCAGTTATAGGTATTTATGTTTTAAAGTTTAAGAAAAGAAAAACAATGAAAAAATATTTCAAAACAGTAAAAGTGTTATGGTACATTTGCCCAGATTCTATACTGTTATTAACAAATCTGGAAAAATTATGACAGACTCTAGTGCTTCTAAAATTCTGCTGTTATTTCCTATTGTTGTGAAATAAATTATAAACTCAATTTGGCTACTAAAGGAATTCTCATATAAAAAGTGATGTGTTTTGACAGTCTAAACAACATTCTGATTGAAAGCTTATGTTGGCCAGGTGCAGTGGCTCACGCTTGTAATCCCAGCACTTTGGGAGGCCGAGGCAGGCGGATCACGAGGTCAGGAGATTGAGACCGTCCTGGCTAACACGGTGAAACCTCGTCTCTACTAAAAATACAAAAAATTAGCCAGGCATGGTTGCAGGTGCCTGTAGTCCCAGCTACTCGGGAGGCTGAGCCAGGAGAATGGCGTGAACCTGGGAGGCAGAGCTTGCAAGGAGCCAAGATTGTGCCACTGCACTCCAGCCTGGGTGACAGCGAGACTCCGTCTAAAAAAAAAGCTTATGTTACGATGAAATGAAGTTTACTATTTTGAATAATATCAAACATAATCTTACCTTCCTTATATTCTGAATCTAGACGCTTCTTCATTTCTCCCTTCCATTTAGTGAGTTTTGAAGAAGACAAGAAAAACATCAGCAAAGAGGTAAAAAAGCTGAAATTTGCAATGGTTAGGATAAATCCAACCACGAGCCCTGAAAGAAACATTTATAAACACAGAATTATATTCAATTCATACATCAATGCTGTGAAAAAAGGATGGATTTTTTCCGTTTTTATGTTATAACCTGAAACGTACATTTCTAACAATTTGCATTTTGCCAATTAAGTTGTTACCAAGCAGTAAACTGAATGCGATTTTGAGTACACATTTTTTTTATCATATTTTAATCTCATTTCAAGCAATGCCATATGAATGTAAGATATTATTTTAGATAATATTTTAAAAATACCTTTATTTTAAAAAGGTAGAAATAGAGATGGAGTCTCACTATATCGCCCAGGCTGATCTCAAACTCCTGGGCTCAAGCAATCTGCCCAGCAATGGCCTCCTAAAGTGCTGGGATTGCAGGAGTGAGCCACTGCACCTGGCCTTCTTTTTCTATAATAACCCTTTCCATTGCTTAGCTCAAAGTTCAGATATCATAACCAATGAGATAGTTATTCATCGACTCTTCCAGAGATGCTCAATTACTGGTATTTAACTTTGGTACCTTTTAATTGAGAGCACAAGAAATAGGGTAACTTGAAATAAAGTATTAACAATAACAAAGAGCTTCAGCTCTGGAGTTGAACAGTCTAGAGTTCAAACTTTGGCTCCTTCACTTATCTCTTCAAGATTAGGATAAGTTACCCAACCTCCTGAAGTCTCAATTTTGCACCGATGAAATGAGAATAATCAGAATTTACTTGGCCAGCTTGCTGTAAAAAGTCAGGGATAATCTTTGCAATATGCTTATTATATTATCCAGGATGTAAGAGGTCCTTAATAAGTGTTACCTAATGTCATGGATACTAATAACAGCAACAGTTCCAGTGGCAAAAGCTCAACAATAATCATGATAAATATTATAATATTGTTATCCAACCTTTAAGTTTTTTTAATTGATTTTTAAAACATTAGAAAAGTTGTACGCAACTACTGAAGGGAAAAGTCAAAACATATGGAGGTATACAAATTGAAAGTCAAAGTGTCTCCCCTCCTCCTCTTCATGAATATTCACTGTTAACAATTTGTTCCGCCGTCTCTAAACAAACCCAAAGTAGAAGAGCCCTAAACAACCTACACTGAGATGTTACAAATGGCATCTATATCCTTTTTACTTCAACCACCTTAAAATAGCACATGAGGTGATCAATGTTCATGTTGGTGACAGCTTCAGATTGAGGAAATGAACAAGACAAGTTTTGAGGGAAGGGTTTCTTTCACGTAGTCCTAAGAGAGCTTGGAACTTTTAGCAACTCCCACCTATGTCTACATTTTAGGTTAGTAACTGCTATCTCCTGTTCGTATCTTTTCCACCTCTCCATCCTGCAGATCTCTAAATATCATTGATAAAGGGTTCACAGATATGACAATAGGGTACTCCCAAATAATTTGAAGACTTGAGGACTATGGTTGCCTTCTGAGCCTTAAATAGGTAAATTCTGTACCTAACAGATAGCATCAGGGGAGTAAAATGACGCTGTCTACAAATTTCTGACAATGGGAGTACAGTTATACCCCAAATTCCAACCAGGGTGACCTGGATAATCTCTAGGAGGCGTAAAAGAGAAAGGCAGGACTGGAATTTCATAGCAATTTAATAAACTCAGGGCTAACCTATTGATTCATACATATTCTATGATAATTTAATTGGCTAGCCCAAAATGTAGAAAGTGAAGGCCAAAAAAACCAGAGGCTGGCAGACTTCTTGAACCACGTCCAAGGGAGGGGAACCTTTGATTTGTGGACTTGCATAACTGTTTCTCAGACTTTGTACTCACCAAAGCAGCCTTCTAATTATAATCCGACTTCTCAAGTGGCCTGACTACAAGAATAGGGCATGCCTGAACAGCGATGTTTGTGTTCTTCTGCCTGGTAGTTCTTCTATCTGACTAATAAAGTGGCATTCTGGCTCATATAGCAATCCTTTATGACAATGAGCAACATTCAACCAGTTTTCTAGGCTCTAATCAACTCTGGGTACATGACAGAGTGAGGTTTCTACTTCAGAAAGACTGAAACCAGACCCAACGTATAGTGACCAAAAAGAGGTCAGGCCACCCTTGTGAAACCACACAGAGCACCACCACTGGCCTCTCCTGACAACACCCCCTCTTGCTATGCTCTTCCACAAACACTTTACCACAAATCCCCCTCATGTGACCCTCTCCTTATTCTGGCAATGCTTGCTCTCTCTCCAAATGACCAGAGTCCTCCACTTCAGTGTGCAGCTTAGAGACGAAGTGTGACTGAACCCCTGCCCAATCCTCTCAATACTGAGGTATATGTTTCTGTCATGAATGGTTCTAAATACCCAGATCCTGAGGAAGTTCTGTAACTCTTACTTCTCAATCCTAGACACACTAAAGTCATGATGTAGCAAAGTAAAATTCCTTATAACTGCGTGTATTAGTCCGTTGTCATGCTGCTAATAAAGATAAACCTGAAACTGGGTAATTTATAAAGAGAAGAGGTTCAATTGACTCACAGTTCCACATGGCTGGGGAAGCCTCACAATCATGGCTGAAGGCAAATGAGGAGCAAAGTCACATCTTACCTAGTGGCAGGCAAGGGAGTTTATGTAGGGGAACTCCCCTTTACAAAACCATCAGCTCTCATGAGACTTACTCACTATCATGAGAACAGCACGGGAAGGACCTGCTCCCATGATTCAATTACCTCCCACCAGGTCCTTCCCTTGACATGTGGGAATTATGGGAGCTACAATTCAAGATGAGATTTGGGTGGGGACATGGTCAAACTTGTATCACTGTGGACAGCAGTAGTGGAAGGAAAACAGTAATAATAACTAACATCTATAAAATATTTGTATGCCAAGTACTGTGCTAAGCATTTTACATGGATAACACTTCAAGATAATTCATTGCCATAGATACCATTATTCCTTCACATTTTATAGACAGGACAAGTACAACACTGAGAGTTTAAGTGATTTGCAGTCATACTCTAGGATAGTATACCCAACTACTATGATATATTTTAAATCAGCATTAGATTTTTTTTTATCCTTAAGGAAACAAAAAGTTCCAAACAGTAAGAAAAGCTGGGTGTGGCGGCGTGTGCCTGTAGTCCCAACTACCCAGGAGGCTGAGGCAGGTGGACTGCTTGAGCCCAGGAATTCAAGGCTGCACTAAGCTATGGTTGCATCACTGCACTACAGCCTGGGTGACAGAGCAAGACCCTGCCTCTAAAAAAAGTTTTTTTGAGGACAGGGCCTCGCTCTGTCACTCAGGCTCAAGTGCAGCAGCATGATCTTGGCTCACTGCAGCCTCCGCCTTCTGGGTTCAAGCAATTCTCCTGCCTCAGCCTCCCAAGTAACTGGGACTACAGGCACCCGCCACTATGCCTGGCTAATTTTTGTATTTTTAGTAGAGCAAGGTTTCACCATGTTGCCCAGGTTGGTCTCAAACTCCTGGATTCAAGCGATCTGCCTACCTTGGCCTCCCTAAGTGCTGAGATTACAGGTGTGAGCCACCATACCTGGCCATAACTTCTTTTTTCACAAAAAGGTAGAAAAAAAAAAAGATAAACGTTTCATAGAATGAAATAATTAGGAAAAAAGCAAAGGTTTTTAAAAATCAGACTACATCTATTCCTAATTATCTATTATGTATCTAGCACTATTCAAAGAAACATGGGACACAGAAGCATAAGATACTCTTTGTCCTCAAGGAGTTTACAATCTAGTAGATTTTCTTTATGCTCAAACAGATCAAGTGGCATGTTATACCACCATGATAATTTTTAGAAACATGCATATTATATTTTTGCTACCTGACTTTAGAACTATCAGTTACTACTGAAAGTAAGTTAATGACATGCTTCCATCTACTACTACATCTGATCATTTCCATCTCTAAGGGCTGGCAGCAAATAAATGACTTTATTAGATTTGAATCCTATTCAGTAAGAATACTTCATTAAGCACTAAGAAGCCTAGAACCAGAAACTTTCTTAGTGGGAATACTTCATTTAATTTTACTCTGCAAGCATTAGTTTCAATTTTCTGCAGTTCTCATTGTTTTCTGCCCAGAACTGTCTCTTCATCTTTGAAATCTCTCTATATACTTCTCTATTAATGCAGATGATAATAATAATCAGCATATATAATGAGGTAGGAGAGAGGTCAGAGGGGGAGGAGTAATGTGAGCAGAGGTATGGAGAAAGAAAGAAAGGTTTGTGGCAATGCCAATTTAATAGTCATTCGCGTATAAAAGTATGGTTGAAAGTACATAATCACTAACAATGAACATTTTTGCACCATTTACAAAGATGTGTTGCCTCACATAATATCTTGTTTGAGCTTCACCAATAAGCCCATGAGGTATTACTATTGGAGGTATTTTAGAAGAGAGAAGAAAGTGAGGCTCCTAGGCGTTATGTAGCTTTCCCAAGTTTGCCCTGATAATAGGTGGCAGTGTTAGGTTTCAAATACATATCTTTTCATTCTAATCAACATAGGACAGGAGTAGATGCCCAAGGGCTAGAAGGCAGCCCTTCCAGCAGCAGGAAAGAAACAACAGGAGAGATCATAAATGCCAGAGAAGCAGGACAATATACAGCACAGAAGCCCAAGGAAGACAGAATTTCAAGAAGGACTTGACCTTTCTTTCTATAAGAATAATAAATTCCAAGGCGAGGATATCTGAGAGCTTTTTTTTTTTTTTTTTTTTTTTTTTTTTGACACAGGGTCTCACTCTGTTGCCCAAGCTGAGTGCAGTGGCACGATCAGCCTCCTGTGTAGTTGGGACTACAGGTGTGCACCACCATGCCTGGTTTAATATTTTGATTTTTTGTTTTTTTTGTAGAGGTGAAGTCTCATCATATTGTCCAGGCTGGTTTCAAACTCCTGGACTCATGTTATCCTTCCGCCTTGGCTTCCCAAAGTGCTGGGATGACAGGTGTGAGCCACCGCAACCAGCCCAGAAAGAACTTTTTTTTAGCAAAGCATAACTCCATGTTATTATATTTAAGCAGAGATTGTTCAAGTTATGTTATAAATGAGTTAGTTAATACTACCAAAGTGCTAACAGCAGTGCCTGGTACATAGAAAGTGTGATACAAACATTTGTTAAATAGATAAAATATAACCATTCCTAATACTTATTGATTACATGGTAAAATAAAATTCATACAAAAATATCAATATGTCTAGTTAACTTTAATTCTCAACTACCCCACAAAAGGAAAAGAAATCTCACAATATAACTTAAAAAATATTTCTTAATTATGAAGAGAATTGGCATGATTTTGAAGAACTCTGCCTAATAATAATAGTTACAAGCACTGAATAAATGTTGGCTATGTGTTCAGGCAATGAGGTAAGGACTTTAAATTATCTCATTTAATTCTCTCTATGCCCTAAAAATGAAATAAGGGGGAGATCGAGGCTTTGTGGAGCCCGAAGCTTATATAATTTGGAGTTCCCTCTTTAAGAAAAAGAGTACAAAAGTTTTGACCTTTGCAAAATTGACAAAACCATAGGACCATGAGAGCACACTGCTAGTTTATTTATTCAGTTTTATCTCTCACTTCTTTTCCTATTGTTACTATTTTCTAGTCAAATGAGCCTTATTATTCTTACTCTCAAATAAGCCTCTAAAATATCTGGACTTTTGCACTTGTTATTCTGTCGGCCTGGAACATAATTCTGTCAGCTCTCATTGCTAGCTTCTTTGGATGCCAGCGCAAAATGACCTACTTACAGAAAAGCACCTGACACCATTTACAGAAGAATGCACCACGTCTTCCAACATATGCACTTAACACTTAATTATCTTTTCATTTTTCTCATAAACGTCATTACCTGAACAGTTTTATATATTATCTACCTGCCCTAAAGAATATAAGTTTCATGAGAACTGACACCATGTTCTTTTTGTTTACAGATATATCCCAAGTTTTTAGAACAGTGGTACATACTAGTAAGTGTTCAATAAAAATTTGCTAAAAGATGGGTCAGGCATGGTGGCTTACACCTGTAATCCCAGCACTTTGGGAGGCCCAGGCAGGTGATCAACTTGAGGCCAGGAGTTCGAGGCCAGCCTGGTCAACATGGTGAAACCCTATCTCTAATAAAAATACCAGAAAAAATTAGCTGGGCATGGTGGCACAGGCCTGTAATCTCAACTACTCGGAGGCTGAGGCATGAGAATCGCTTGAATCCAGGAGGAGGAGGAGGTTGCAGTGAGCCGATCGTGCCACTGCACTCCAGCCTGGGCAACAGAGAAAGACTGTCTCAAAAAAAAAAAAAAAAAAAAAAAAAAAATTGCTAAAAGAATGAATACATGGCCTGTTCTCAACTCAGTTTTGGAAAATTAATCCAGAATGCTAAGTTTGGACTGCTCTGTTTGAGATTACTAACAGCAACTTCCAAGAGTTTATTCTCTCCAAATGCTCTATTTTACATCTAGGAGGAGTGCTCCAGTGTTTCTGCTGGTAGAAGACTAAAGGAGCAGAAAAGTCAAGGTTCATCTATCCTATTAATTTACTTTGTATCAATCACAAAATTTAATTTGTATGTTACACTAAAAGTGTATGTTAGTTTCTGAAATTTTGACAATAGGAATGCTGAGCAAGATGTAACTTTATCATTGTCTAAAATATATAACACTATGATTTGTAGTCAGTCTCATATATTCAGAATTTAGAAAACATAAATTTAAATTATATAAGCAAGCACTTAGTAGTTACTGTAAACATTCAAAATAAAAACATACCTCCTAGAGCCCCACTGTGATCTAGACTTTTCTTTTTAAGTCCATTAGAGACGATCAGAACAGGAACAACAACAGAAAACAGCCAACGCCATGGAGAAATAGGTCGTAAGTTACCTGAAACATTATAAAGGTGGAGCACAAATTGTGTGAAGTCTGCACAGGTTAGTTTTGGCAGTAAACTTCCATTACTGCTTTTGGACTAAAATACTGTCGTAAGTACAAACACCAAGATGAAGTCACCAGAGAAAAATATAGTCATGCATCACTTAAGATAGGGATATGTTCTGAGAAATGCATCCTTAGGTGATTTCATGGTTATGCAAACATCAGACTGTACTTACACACACCTGGATGGTAGAACCTACTATACACTTAAGCGATATGCTATAGCCTATTGGTCCTAGGCTACAAACCTGTATAGCATATTACTGCACTGAATACTGTAGGCAATTATAACAGAATGTATTTGTGTATCTAAACATAGAAAAAGTAGAGTAAAAATATGGTATTATAATCTTATGGGAACATGTTATATGTGTGGTCCGTCATTGACCGAAACATCGCTAGGCAGAGCACGACTGTATTTATGTTGAGACATGCATGCATATTTTCAGAGAAGCAGTCTTACTGGAGAATGGCCAAATAGGTTATGTTCAAGTTTTGAAAACCTTTTACTGCTATTTATGATAATAATGGATATCTAGATATTTAAAATGAATCTCCGGTTCATTTTTTTTCAAGGGGGCATATATTAAATTTCAAGCACTACCTAGAATGAACTCTTTCTGTAACAGGGTCTTACTCCTCTCTGCCTTTTAGAGGACACCTATTAAATGGTTAGAAATTGATTATTCCAGAGGCTGCATCCAGCTCACAGACATTTGGCTAGCAGAGTGTTTTCAAATAATTTGAGTCAATATTTAAAGATGAGAAGATATCATATAAAAATCCAGATTCTTGGCTTCTGTTTTAAAATTGGGAAGTTCTGGCCAACACGGTAGAATTGACTGAAGGTAAAGAGAGGTCCCCTCCTTTAAACAGGCCATGGCTTTCCCATTTAAACTGCCCACCACTCCTGAAGGCTCCTAAACGCCAAGGCTAAGTGATTTCCTTATGGTAAAGAAAACCGTGAACCACTGCTTGTATCCATGTTTCTATCAAAAATGAGAAAATGGGCCCAGCACTTTGGGAGGCCGAGGCAGGAGGATCCCGAGGTCAGGAGTTCAAGACCAGTCTGGCCAACATAGTGAAACCCTGTCTCTACTACAAATACATAGCCAGGCATGGTGGCAGGCACCTGTAATCCCAGCTACTTAGGAGGCTGAGGCAGAATTGTTTGAAACCAGAAGGCAGAGGTAGCAGTGAACTGAGATCGTGCCACTGCACTCCAGCCTGGGCAAAAAGAGCAAAACTCCATCTCAGAAAAAAAAAAACGGGGGGGATGAAAGACAAAGAGGGCCCAAGCATTCAACAAAAGATGAGAAATATCCTATTTCTGGAAGTGAAAACTATTACCACACGTCTAACACACAAAAACTTGCACAGTTTCATTCATTTGCATTAGGTGACTGGTCCGAGGGATATTTCAGTTTACAAATCCTGATTTATTCTATTTAGTTCAAGTCATAACAAATACTATGACTGCATGACAACCATTCACTAACAAGAATCTTCTCTTATACCCCTCCCCTAAAACTCTGATGTCCCACTGTGAATCATTATGAATGAACAGCCCTGAGAGCTTCTGTATCCCGGAGAACCCTTTCCAATTATTCACGTGTTCTCTTTGCAAAAAGCCTACAGTCTGAAATGGCAATCCCTTACGATATAACCATTTAAGAGAGTTCACTTTCTCATTCTCCTTTTCATTTTTTCCCTTGTTGTAAACTGACCAGTATTTTGTTTTCATAGGAGAAGGAAGTTTGTGTAAATGGAGACTTACGCTCTAAAGCACCTTCAAAACCTTAAAGATCTGAGTCCAGAGTACCTTATATTTAAGCAATGTAGCTTTATGCTTTAAAAGGAGTCTATTCTTTTGAAGCAGCCAAATGGCAGATAAGTCCTTCAGCTCTCCAAATGTAAATATTATACCGTCTTTAATTCTTATTATATTTACAGAACATGTGAAACTGATAAACTACATTACTAATTTCTTTTTTTCTTTTTTTGAGACGTATTCTCGCTCTGTCGCCCAGGCTGGAGTGCAGTGGCTCGATCTCAGTTCACTGCAACCTCCGCCTTCAGGGTTCAAGTGATTCTCCTGCCTCAGCCTCCCGAGTAGCTGGGATTACAGGCGCGTGCCACAACGCCTGGGCCATTTTTCTAGTTTTAGTAGAGCTGGGGTTTCACCATGTTGGCCAGGCTGGTTTGAACTCCTGACCTCAGTTGATCCTCCTGCCTTGGCCTCCCAAAGTGCTGGGATAACAGGCGTGAGCCACCGCTCCTGGCCCATTACTAATATTCTTATTCAAAATTAAAAGCATGACTGTAATTGCTTTACAAAGCTATGTTCACCTCACTTATCTTTCACCAAGACAGATGGAATAGTTACTTAACATATAAAGACATTTTGAAACAGGTATAACTAGGCCAGAAGTGGTGGCCTGTATTCCCAGTACTTTGGGAGACCCAGGTGGGAGGGTCACTTGAGCCTAGGGGTTTCAGACCAGACTAGCAACACAGAGGGACTCCCATCTTATAAAAAATAAAAATTAAAAAAAAGAAATAGGTATAACTCGAATTATCACAACAAGCGTTTATTAAAGGCACTGTTTATATTATCTTGTTACTAAGTTAAATCAGGCTATGGAAGTTAAGTAAACACAACCATTCCTAACCATTCAGAGGATACGAGTTTTGGATTTCACAATGGTATGGTTTTAAATTTCACTGACTAGATTACAGAGAAACAACTTAGAACATTCATACTTACCATAATAGGTGCTTGCAGTCATTGACATAATCCAGAAAGCTAAGGAAATGCAAATGATCAGGCTCAATATAACTATATTAGTTATCATCTTTATATATCTTTTGCATATATTGTCGTTAAGATCTGTCATGGAAAATAAGGATGTGAGCTCCTGCGGGGCAGAATATTTAGCGTTTCGGAGAGAAAGTCATTTACGATGTGAGCAAGACACTTGTTCAGAGGCAAACATAAATCCCAACATATTCCACCGACCAAACAAGCAAAAAAAGTCACAAAAATTCAAACTCCTTCCGGAAATTCCTGCTGGACGGAGAGCTCCAATGCGTACGGGCGAGGCCAACGCCTCACCGCAAAAGCAAAGCGCCACCCGGTCGACGGTGAGGGCCGGCTCCCGGCTGCTCAGCGCCTCACACCGGAGCCCCAGGGGGAAAAGAGAAAGCCGAGGCAGCCAATCCGCGGTCCCGGCGCTGGCGAGCTCCACCCACCTCCCGTCGCAACCTTCTCACCCGCAGGCGGCGTAGGTCCGCGGCTGCAAAGGGACAGTTAGGGCACCCTAACTTGGGCAAGTCTGGGAAGCAAGCCCGACGCGGCTGAACGCAGTCACGTCCGGACAGCTGCGCAAGGCGCCCTAGGGTCCAGGTCCAACTGGCCAAGGCCGAGACCCCAGGAGCAAAGCCAGCGCCTCCGCGCGCCCCCGCCTTTAGCCCCTCCCCGGCTGTGGGCATGCGCCGCAGCTGCTTAGGGGGACGTCACCTCGCTGAAGTGGGCGGGCACTGCTGGCATCCTGGCCGGCTGCGTTTGCACTGCTTCTCCGAAACCACTTTATAGGTACTAAACAGCATTGTTTACTACCTATAATGTGCTAGACTCCTGGCTGCTAGCGAGGTAAAGTTAAACATAGATTCTGTTACTGAGCTCTCGTCATTATTGTCATAACACCACTTAAATTGTGGAAATACCTGTCCTCACACCCCTTATATTTCAAGTGTGTTCATTTAGAAAGCAAAACGTCTTGTTAGCATAAAAATTCTGAATCGTGGCTGATTTCATTATTATTATTATTATTATTATTATTTATTTTTTTTTTTTTTTTGAGACAGCGTCTCTCTCAGTTGCCCAGGCCGGAGTGCAGTGGCACATCTCTGCTCACTGCAACCACCGCCTCCCAGGTTCTAAGCGATTCCCCTGCTCCAGCCTCCGGAGTAGCTAGGATTAAAGGCGCCACCACCACCCCCGGCTAATTTTTGTATTTTTGGTAGAGACGGGGTTTCGCCATGTTGGCCAGGCTGGTCTCGAACTCCTGACCTCAGGGGATCCACCTACCTCGGCCTCCCAAAGTGCTGGGATTACGGGTTTGAACTACCGCGCCCGGCTTGATTTCATGTTTTATGTGAAATTACCTTGTTTGCCTGGGTTAACAGTAACTAACTGATAATTACATATTATTTATCAATTTTTTCAGTTAATTGCTGACAGTGTAAGAAGAGGAGCCAAATTCATTTCAGACACAGTATGCAATTGTGTTTTAACCCCCCAGAGTAGTTACTTAAAAAAAAGCTCACATTATTTTAAATTTCAAAATACATGCCAAGACTGCTTGTCATTTTCTTTGGTAAGGCATCTGATTAAGTAGTTAACTAAGAACCAAATCTGTGAAGTAGGACTAAATAGTAGTGGGCTTCTTGTACTAGATAATATACATATGGTCTTTATGCTGAAATTTATTATGTGCCTACTTTCTTTTTGTCTTAGTCTGTTCTGCATAGGTAAATGTTTGGATTATCTTACCAAGCTGGCCAATATCAATGCTACCAGACTATTGGGTAAAATTATTAATAATCAAAGCTAACGTTTTGTGGTTTGCACAGTGGCATTTTTTTTGTCTCTGCTTAGACAAAATTATGAACTGGTCTGTTTTTTTGTTTTGTTTTGTTTTTGTTTTTGGCCTTGCTTCACCATAGTCACAGAGTGACCCTCTCTGATTAGTTGGTGTTCTATAGGAAAATCATAGCCTAGCTGTGAATGTCAAGCTATCTCCCAACACTGGGGTGTAGCTGTGTCAGGTCAGTCCCTGGATGTCAGGGATGATTTTCTCATGACTGGTAGATCTGGCTAAAAATGCATATTAAATAGTAGTGTCAGTGAACTGACCCTTCAAATGAGTATTTTCCCTTGTATTTTTTTTTTCAGTGACCTATTATTGATTTTTTCTCCATAAAAGTTATTCTAGCTTAAGACCAAAATAATTTAGAGGAGTTAATATAATTAAAATACGGTAATTCTTCCTCACATGCAATAGGCAGTTTCAGTTACCAAGGGTTAAACATGATCTTGAGGCAGGAGAATAGGGTCTGGAGGCAGGGAACCTAAGGCGGATTCATGCTGACTTCCTAGAGCTAAATCAAAAGGAAAACCCCAACTTTCCACACCTAAGTAACAAAAGCACCCGAAGCTACTCCCTTTGCAACCACCCTTCCTTTTTTTTCTGCGTGGCAGATAGAAAATTGAAAGTATCTCTGCTTGGTCGCTTTCTGCAACCAATCAGACGTTTGGGTAGGAGTGTAACTTTGTAACTTCACTTCAGCCTCTAATTGGTTGTTTTTCACAACCAATCAGACTGATTGCGGGCTAGTACTTCATTTACATAGAGTGTACACCAAGTAACCAATGGGAAACCTCTAGAGGGTATTTAAACCCTAGAAAATTCTGTAAGGAGGATTTTGAACCCCTATGCTCAGGTGGTTCCCACCCTGTGGAGTGTACTTTGTTTTCAGTAAATCTCTGGTTTTGTTGCTTCAATATTTCCTTGCTTTGTGTGTTTTGTCCAATTCTTTGTTCAAAACACCAAGAACCTGGACACCTTCCACTAGTAGCAATCTGAAAATATTAAAAAGAAAATTCCGGAAATATTCATAAGTTTTAAATTGCGTGCCAGTCAAAGTAGCATGATGAAATCTCATGCCATCCAGCTCCATCCCACTTGGGACGTGAATCCTCTGTTTATCTAGCATATCCATGCAATAAACATTACTCTCTCGTTAGTCACTTGGGAGCTGTCTCAGTTATGAGATGGACTGTTGCAGTATCACAGTGCCCTTATTTTAGTTTTATTACAATATATTGTTATAATTGTTCTATTTTATTATTAGGTGTTCCTCCTAATCTCTTACTGTGCCTAATTTATAAGTTAAACTTTATCATAGGTATATAGAAATCGGAAAAAACATAGTATATATAGAGTTTGATATTATCCAGGGTTTCAAGCATCCACTGAGGATGTTGGAATGTATCTCCAAGGATAAGGGGAGAGGGGCTATTGTATACTTTTAAAAGAATCTATTGTTATAAATTTTATAGACTATCAATCTTAAAAATTTCAACAAAGTCTTCGTTTTTCTATTTACTTTAGAAGCCATTTTCTGGCAATGGAAAATTTCTGGTTAGGCATTTCCTAAACTGTATTCTTTAACTTAATAGTAGTTGTTCTTTATTAGTAGGCATCCCTACCACCCAAAGATACCTATGATCAAATTTGAGAAAGATTGTCTCTACGTGGGATAGTTAGAGTGTATTATTAATGACTCTAAGAAGTTAAGAAACAAACACATTTGTTTAAATGGTTCCAACAGTTAATTGTCTTCCCCAGATTTCTTTCCTGTAGAAAACATGCAGTTTGAGACTTACTATAGCAATCGTAGAATAAACTGAAAGTTCATTGTTGTGCTGCTCTTTAAATTTCACAATGTAAATACCCATTTATGGTTTAGTGCTCTTTGATATAAAGTTTGGATTTTTCTGTGATAGACATTTATATTCAATACCAATCACAAAAATTATCCTAATGGCAAAAAGCACTTACTGTGTGAAACTATCAGATTTTATTTACAATCCCTTTGAATCTAATCCAAAGGGATTGGTTTCAATTTTCTGAAATGTGCAAATATTTGAGTGATTTGAGTGCCAACATACATATACCACAGTCTCTGCCTTGAAGGAACATAGCAGATGAAAATGGACAGGTAGACCATTACATTATAATAAGATGATGATTTTATCCAAGTCATATATAAACAGGATTCAAGGAGAAAAGCACTTATGTCCCTTTGGTATGTTTAGGGATGGTGTCACACAAGAGAGGGGAGCATCCAAGGTAAGAATTGAAAGATGACAAAGAGTTTGCTCAGTGACTAAGCTAAAGGAAGGGCAATTTGTAAAGGTTTGTTTGGTGGTTAAGAAGAACATGAAAATAGGAAGTTCAAGAGAATGGAGAAGAGTTAGAAATAACACATTTTGGAGTGTTTGCTAAATAATTTATTAAACCAAAAATTCATCTGAGAAACAGACACCTCTTTAAAAAATTTTTTAATATAAAAATAGAGGTGAGGTCTCACTGTGTTGTCCAGGCTGGTCCCAAACTCCTGGCTATAAGTGATCCTCCTGCCTTGGCCTCCCAAAGTGTTGGGATTACAGGTGTGGAGCCACCTGGCGATCCCACACCAATATGGTGCCTTCTTGACCATTAAACCCGCCAATATTTTTTGTTTTTTAAATGTGTTAGCCAGGATGTTCGATTCTGATGTTGTGTCTGGATTAAGCTTGAAGGGGCTGTAGTATAGATTTTAAAAGACTAGGGAGCAATTTGAAGATGGATTTGTTGTATTAGATCGAGCTCATTCTAACAGGACCTTAGGGAGAGGGTGGGGAGCAGTGAAGGCAGGAATAAATAAATGGAATACTGTTTACTAGCAACCTTGAGGACAGACACTATGTCTGTCTGGCACATCCTAGTTTGATCAGTGTCTCTTATGAGTGTTAAGATAGTATTTTTGGGCCAGGTACAGTGGCTCACACCTGTAATCCCAGTGATTTGGGAGGCCAAGGTGGGCGGATCACCTGAGGTTGGGAGTTCCAGACCAGCCTGACCAACATGGGGAAACCATGTCTCTACTAAAAATACAAAATTAGCTGGGCATGGTGGTGCGTGCCTGTGATCCCAGCTACTCAGGAGGCTGAGGCAGGAGAATCACTTGAACTCGGGAGGTGGAGGTTCTGGTGAGCTGAGATTGTGCCATTGCACTCCAGCCTGAGCAACCAGAGCGAAAATCTATCTCAAAAAACAAAAAAACAAACAAACAAACAAAAAACATAGCATTTTTTGAATTACAGTATTCGAAACAATTTTTTTTTTTTTAAGACAGTCTCACACTATTGCCGGAGCTGGAGTGTAATGGCACAATCTCGGCTCATTGCAACCTCTGCCTCCTAGGTTCAAGTGATTCTCCTGCCTCAGCCTCCTGAGTAGCTGGGATTACAGGCACCCGCCACCACGCCTGGCTTATTTTTTGTATTTTTTAGCAGAGACGGAGTTTCACTATGTTGGCCAGGCTGGTCTGGAACTCCTGACCTTGTGATCCGCCCACCTCGGCCTCCCAAAGTGCTGGGATTACAGGTGTGAGCCACTGCGCCCGGCCCGAAATAATGTTTTAATCAGAAAAAAATTAATAAAATATCACAATCTTCTTTCCCTTTTGTTAGTAAAATTGTGCTTTGATAATGTCTTTTTTTTTTTTTTTTTTTTTTTTTTAAAAGAGACAGGGTTGTACTCTGTTGCCCAGGCTGAAGTGCAGTGGTGCAATCATAGTTCACTGCAGCTTTGAACTCCTGGGCTCAAGCAGTCCTCCTGCCTCAGCCTCCTGAGTAGCTAGGGGACTACGTCACATGCCTCCATGCCTGGCTAATTTTTATTTCATTATTTTTGTAGAGACGGGTGTCTCGCTAAGTTGCCCAGGCTGATCTTAAACTCCTGGCCTTAAGTGATCCACCCATCTTAGCCCCACAACATGCTGGGATTACAAGCACGAACCCCTGTACTTAGCCTGCAAATAAATTTTTGTGTGAGCCTCAAATTATGGTCAGGATAGAGATAGACTCTTACCATTTTTATAGCCCTTCATATATCTCATCTAGATTGCCTAACCAGATCTAAAACAGTGCAAATAAACTATAATGTACATTTAGATATAACTTGAGCAACAAAAATGAAAATAACTTCTCTTCAAGGCTTTACATTATCTTTATTTGTTTTACCATTTGCTTCAGTTTAGGGAGAAGGACTTCACAGAAGTCTTTTAGGGGGTCAGTGTAAAAGAACTTTCACAGAAATATTTAGGTACATTTTTTAGAAATAACAGGCATGACAGTAATTTCCTTGGGGAAAAATGTTTAATATCACCATACTCAGAATACATTTTTGTGAATATGCAATTATTTAGTATACATTACAAAATCCTCAATTTTAGAAAGTTTCCAACTGTCTAAATATCAGAAGAATCCAATATTTTGGTACAAAGATGAAACATTTCCTATATTATAGCAAAATTAAAATCTACCCGTATTCTAACATTGAGAAATGAGATAAAACACAGTATTATAAAGTCTACTTTATAGGAAAGATCAAGTGACCTCAAAGACTTTACTATTTTCATATTTTAAGACACATGATTTGTCCTATTTTAGTAACCTGGTTCATATGTTAAACAAAGTGTAATGTGAACAGCAGAGAGGATTTGTTGGCAGAAGATCTATGTTCAATCTAGAACTATCTAGATCACAGACATTTCTATTCCTTGTGCAGGTTGGCACATAGTAAATGCCCAAATGAATAAAGAAATTGAATTAACAAAGATGTCTTCATGTGTAAATCAGAGGTAGTACCACCTACCACACAGAATGTAAGGAAAAAGAGCACAAATAAATACCAAAGTGCTTTATAAAATTCTGAGTTATTTTAAAAATCTGTGTTCATAGGTTTATTTTACACAAAATACCAAATTTCAAATGAACTCCAGTACTAGATTTTGATGTACTATTTTATTTATAGCCATGTTTTCCTTTTAACAAAGATACCATTAACACCACATTTGTTCAGTGTTCATTTTAAAGGGTAAAAATGTTGTTTTGTAGCTCCTTCAATAAAACACCATAATTCAGGTCAAATGCCAATGTCCTGTACCTCCTTTGCTAAGTCAATATAAGGAGGAATCTGTTTTGTTTCAAAACAAAAGCATTTGATTATAAAAAGGTCTACAGTTTATAGTTCTTACTGAATTCCAATTCAACAGCATTTACCAAAGGGACTTTATAGCTATTTCTTTTGTAGCATTTATCATATTGTGTTATAAATATTACTTCTCTCAAGAGATAGAGCAACTTGAGGGCAGAAAATAATGTCATATTCCTTTGTATATCAAGTACCTAGCCTTTGGCTGGTTCTTTGTAGAGGTTGGTACCCAATAGACAGAGGACAAATAAACAGAAGATCTGTGTTGTGACCAGCAGAGGAAAAAAAGCTATTATAATTTCAGTTAGTTTTATGGTCAGGGTGATTAAAAAAAAACCTATTGAACTGAAAGCAGGATTTTAATAGACTCCTTTTAGGTTTTTCTCTGTGAATAAAGCTAGTTCAAAGGTAGACAAATGTATACTAATAAAACAATTTGATGCAAACAGTTTGGAGCATGTTGTCAGGACAGTAAAACGAAAATGATAGAGAAAACACAGAAAAGTTTACTCTAAAATTATTGAGTAGTAGTTTATTTAATACTGTCAAGTAACAATGAATGAAGATGAAGTAACCTTGTCAAAAAGTTGTTGTATTTTGCAATATTTTATTTTTATGATTTTTAAAATTTATTAAGATTTCAAGGTATTATTGTAGATGGGAACTGGGCTACGTAGTGTTTTGTATCTGGGGTGAAGGGTGAACTACATGAGAGTGGTTATACTTGGAAAAAATAGCTTTTATTCAAATGATTATTTGTCCAACTTATTTTGAGTTATAAGGTAGATGTGGTCAGTAAATGTTTGATGATGATTATATGCTGGTGAAAAGTTATTTGAAACCATACTAGAAAAAAATAAATATGTAATGACAATTCCAAGGAACTACATCTAATACTTAAAATAAAGATAAAATAACTAGCAAGATTTATAACATCCACAAAAAGATTTTCATAAATATCTGTTTTAAATACCTCATGGGCATTCTAAGAGACTTTTCCTACCTTTGCATTTCCTTGGGAGGCATTCCTTAGTAAAGAGAGTGCTAAAACTGTAAAAGAATTCTTACTAGGATCCAAGCAAATGCAATCCTAAACAGTTGGCAAAAAGAGGGATTTTTTTTTAAAATCATAAATTAGCTATTACTTTACAGAAAAGTTTTACAGCAATTTATGACTTAGGTTTATGCTACCTTCATATGTTAGTATCACCAGTTTGAATTAAATAAGTTGAGTTAAATAACTTGATTATATATTAACACATTTTTACATGATTTCAACAAAGGTGTTTGAAGCAAAGGGTTCCTATTAAACATTAGTGAAATAAAGCAAACCCTTTAATTGTTCAAGTGCCAATGATAAGAATAGTTCTGATACTTTTATTTTGTAAAATAATTAGCATTTGTATACCACTATCACAGACATACACATATTTCTATAGGGAACATTTAATTTCCCTTATGCACTATGGTTGCTTTATTTGTTTTTGCTGTTGTTGTTGTTGTTTTAGAGACAGGGGTCTCACTCCATCGCCCAGGCTGGAGTGCAGTGGTGCAATCACAGCTCACCACAGCCTCAACCTCCTAGGTTCAAGTGATCTTCCCACCTTACCTTCCCAGGTAGCTGGGAACACAGGCATGCTGGTTGCTCTATTTCACTCACTAAAAAAGGAGATAAAAAGCAAGCTGATGTCTAAGATAAACTGATGCCATTTTAAGTTATTAATACAAATTGTGAAGATATAAGTAGTTTCCTGTGATTAAATTTTACTGTGGGTTTATGAAGAGGAAAAAAAAAATCCCACTATATTGATATACTATTTCTGAGGTACAGCATGCATTTAGAAAGTAGTTAAAAAGAAAACAAAAAACCTTAGGAGTTCTGGTTATCAATCAATACGTAAGCACCAATTTTGAAGTTGGAAATGTAAGGTTTTTATTATGAGAAAAAGAGGAGTATACATTTACTTAGCTAGGTCCTGAACTCTGAATTATTTTACAACGTTTTCTTAGGTGAATATTATCAGCTACTAGATTTTACTAGTTTAAAGTACTTGAGGCCTTACCTAGTTTAGATGACTCAATGGTACTTCACATTCAAATATTTTCAAAATATTTTACAACCTATTTTAAAATCTAATATTCTTACGAGAGAGGCCATGACAAGCTCACTTTTACTGGTAAAACAAAATACAGAACATTTTAATTTAAAAACTTGCCCTGTACCTTTTTTTTCTATAAATTTTTCAAATCACAGTGCCAATTATAATTTAATACAAAACCCAGCAGTTTTAAGGTCATGTAAATGTTGGTTAACTGTTATTTAGCATCTTATTTAGAATGCAATATGCCAACTTTGGTACAGGAAAAAATTCTTTTCTAATGTAAGTTAAACATATTACTTATCATAAGCGGTTCTTTTAATAGTAGTTTAAAAAGACAGAAACAAAAAACACCTTTCAAACATACAATTTATTGGCAAAAATTTTAAGTCCGTAATTCTAATGTAAGGCACTTCCATTCATTTTCAAATAAAAATTTCATACAAATTTTTTTATTCTTTTGTAATCAAGTCTTCACAAATTATACAGTAATGTTACTTCAAGTAAAACTTTATTAAATAATGCATTTTGGCGTAAGTGCCATAATTATCTTTACTTCTGAAAAGAATGAAGGATAGGCATCAAGCTCTGTGCAAGCTAAACTGAAATGAAGGTACTCTTGGTCTGTTTTAGATTTAGACTCGGCAGTGTTTTATCTTGTTGATCTTGTTCAAGGATCTTAAAATCTTCCAAAGGAAGAGTGCTTAAGGCAGTTGGTAAAATGTGTTCTGATGTACCTTTAGGTAATACACTATTCGCTTCTAAATTCTTTACCAAACAAGTGGCTTTGATCCATCTTCGAGTTGCTCTGCGTTCCTTTTGTAGGCAAGTTTTCATTTTTCTTCTTAAGCTTGCTATTTCTTTTTCCAGTTTAATGATTCTCTTTTTTGCCTCCATAGGATTCCTAAAGGCATAGCTGTGTTCAAGTAGTACTTGCTGACTACTCATGTTTGATTTTAAATTAGATGGTCCAGCTGGGGAACAACTGTTGTTTTTCTTCAGAAGATTCCTTGACTTGAGTTTCTGAGCCGAATAAAATTAGAAGGTTGAACATAAATTATGAAATATCACAAATAAGCAAATAGTGTCCAGTTTTGGATAACAGAGTATTTAAACTGTTCTTTTAAAAGTCAATATCAAAACCTTAATAGGAAACAGCAGCAGCCATCTCATGTAATCCAAGATTAAGTTTTTTAACTGGCTGAATAAACTCTAGTCACCTACTTCTTTTTGTCCCATATCCAGAGAGATTCAAACATTGATTTGGAAATAGACAATGGACGTCCAAGGTTTTTTCCAAATTATTGACTGTGATTCTATAGAGACTTTAAAGATCCTTTGCAATTTACTAAGGTCAATTTAGAATATATGTAGATATTATTTATGATATTAATTTGATCCCCTTTTAATTAAATACCATTTTCTCAATCTGATGAATATTTTAGAACCAGGGTCCTACTTAATGAAAACTGAAGGATCTGGAGAAATATATTCTTAAGTACCAAGTTTCTAAATATATTTACCTATTCATTTTTGATAGTTACATATGTCTTCAAGGATTTAAAATCTGGCTAGGAACATTTGCCAAAATCAGGAGATTTGTTTTGCTTTTATCTCTTTCATTCAAATGGTCATCAAGTCCTGTTAATTCTACCCACTAAATATTCCCACCATGAATCCTCTCCTCTCCGTCATTCTTTTTTTTCCTTTCTCTGTTCCACAGTAAGGCTGAACACTGTCATTCTCGATGTCACTACTTACACTGGGCCTCTATCATATCTGTTCTGACTGTATTATTCTTTATTGATCTCTGCACTTCATTTTGATCCTCATTAATCCACATTCTGCCATGAGAATAATTTTTCTAGAATATTTGACATTTCTATTCTGGCCAAATTATTCTTTGCCTACCTATTATCTCAAGGGAAAAAAAATCTTTACATGGCATACTACACAATTTAGGATCTCACCCCATTCTGCAATTTACCATCTTGATTTATACTCCAGCAATACTAAGCCACTGAGAGTTTCCAGATTATATCATATCCTCATAAGTCTGTGTCTTTTATTCATAAACATTTATTGAAACACATACTATGAATTCCTGGGGACACAACACTGAACAAATAAGACAATATGGTTCCTATCCTCATGAAACCTCAGTTAGTCCCTCTGCCTAGGGAATTGACAGGGACTCTTTTTTGATCTTTGTATCTCTAGCACTGAGCTTAGATTCTGGCATAATGGAAAGTTTCCTTGTATTTATTAAATAAATAATCAAAATGTCAAAAATAAGGTACATTTCAAATTCAGTATTTGAGTATATACTATGTCCCAGACACTGTTTGAGGTGCTGAGGATTCACACACGAAAAAGACTAAGTTCTTGCCCTCCTGGAGCTTTTCTAACATCAGTGGTAATTAGCTTACCACAATCTGGTCTCCCATTCAGATTATAACTCATATACATTTAAAAGTTTAACTGTTACAAACAAGAGAAACAGTAGTTTTTCCTCTCTCAGAGGAAAACATGTTTGTCCTGCCTTTCAAAGCTAAACTATTTGTGTTCATTTTACCCTTTCTTACCCTTGGTGACCCTGTCTTTCCCAGCTAGGTTTTCCTCTCTGGTCAGATCTTCCCTAACTAGATAAAACATTGTTTTAATTCATTCGTCTTATATCTTAATTCTTTCATTTTTTAATTTTACTTTTTTTGCTTCATTTTTTCTTCATTCTTTCCTTTTAAATATCAGTTGCTAACATTTCCTACTCACCCCTTAGCCCACTGGTTTTTGATCTCATCATGCAACTGTAATTATTCTGTGCAAAGCCAAGATCCCTTTCCTCTGTTTTAAACTCCCAAGGCTTTAAAGCCCGCTCTAAATGCCCAAGCTCTCTGAAGATTTCTGTTATGTCTGCCTCCCTCTGAACTTACATTCTTTGGTGTAACTCTGGCTGTGCTGCTCTTAAAGTACTTTACACATGTTATTTGTATGTCATTTTAAAATCAGAACACAGTGATGCTGGAAGTTTCATTACTTATATGATTTTTCAGTTTTACCAATGGTACAATTATTAATAATAATTGGTAATAATGTAAAATTCCAATATAGTAAAACAATTTGGATTGGGGAAAGATTATTGGAGTCAGGAGACCCAAACTCTGATTCTAGCCTGTACCTTTACTGTACAAAAGGAAGGTCTGCAACTTTTTTGAGGCATATCACTATAAATGAATCTCAGTTAATAACTGCATAAACAAAAAGGAATGGGTTCTAAAAATGGTTTTAAAAACAGGAGAGTAACATTACCTACCATAGACTTTATATGGGTACAAAAATCAAAAATGGTTGGAACAGCATCCATTTTAAGTCTTCGAGTTTGTCCTGTTAGGTCAAAACAGGAGGCTTCAAAGTGCTTTGAACAAAGAAATGTGTGTTTTCCTGGCACAAAATTTTTGCGCCTAACCAGGCGAACCCATTCTTTTCTTCTTTTAGGATCCAAAGGAAACCTTAAACAAAAAAAAATATGCAACTCAAGTTCCAACTATCATAATTCTGGTTGCACCTAAATGATTAAAAGAAGTTTCGAAGATGATTAAAAGTGTGTCCCATTTACATAGAAAATGTTAAACTCACAATATCCAGACACTGAAACAGAAACCAATTCATGGTAATGTTTTATAAGTTTGAAAAACTTAGTCAGAAACTGACTTGAGTCGTTGTATATTTCAGGGCTTTTAAAAAGAGACACTTCTTCCCAATTAGCCCTTAATCTGGGCAGTAAAATAAAACATGACTAAACTGATTTAGATCAAGTTTAAGTAGAACCATTATAAGCAGGAATAATTTCACCATGCTTTAATCTGCTGCTGATATATGTAGTCCAGAAAAATCAGGTATCTAAAGATTAAATTTTGTCAAGGAAAGCCTAGGCAGATGCCGGTACTCCTTCCTCTATGTCCCATCATTATGACACTTACCACATTATTTTGTAATTTTTCCATTTTAATTTCCAATGACATAAAGATTATAAATTTCTTGAGGACAGGGATCATTATATCTTGGCATGTATTTATCTTTGACACTTAGCACAATGCTTTGCAAACAGCAGGGATTCAACAAAATTTGCTAAATTAATACAAATACAGAATAATAATATTCTGTATGTAAACAACAAATATTTTTAAAAAGTCAACTCTTTAATTATGTAGTGCAGCAGAAAGCAAACTTACAAAAACGTAAAATGCTTTGTAGCAATGTTTTTCCTTTCATATTTCAAGTATAAAATACAGTTGACGCTTTAACAACATGGTTTTGAACTACACAGGTCCAATTATATGTGCATTTTTTTCAATAAATATATTGGAATTTGAAACAATTGGAAAAAACTTGCAGACAAACCATGTAGCCTGGAAACATCAAAAAAATTAAGAAAAAGGTATGTCATTAATATATAAAATATATGTAGATGCCAGTCTATTTTATCATTTACTACCATAAAATGTACACATACTAGTCTATTTTGTCATTTACTACCATGAAATACATAGATTTTAAAAAGTTAAAATTATCAAATTTTGCAGACTGTACATGGCATCATTCAGTCCAGAAGAATGTAAACAAATGCAAAGATGCAGTATAATGATAACTGCATAAAACCAACTGTAGTACATACTGTACTACTGTAATAATTTCATAGCCATCTTCTATTGTGGTGAGCTCAATAAGTGCTGTTGAGTACCCACTTAAAGTGCCATGTGATGCTAATTATCTCTGTCTGAGCAATTTGTCTCTCCAGTAAGTTGTGTATCATGGCAGAAAGCGATTTCTCGCAGTTCTTGCATATTTTTCATTGTATTTAGTGCAATATAAATATCATAAACCTTAAATAATACCATGATACCCATATGAAGTGCCATTAGTGATGATGGATGTGCTCTAAGAAGCAGAGTCATGACAATACAAGAAAAATTTGAATTGCTTGAGGGATATATATATCCCCCATAGATTTAGGTGTGCAGCTGTGGTTGCCTGCCATTTCAAAATAAATAAATCCAGGACCATTGTTAAAAAAAAAAAATTGTCAAGCTGTTGCTACAGCTATGCCAGCAGGTACAAAGATCTTGTACTTTTTGTGAAATATCTTTCTATTCTGTATTGGAAATGCAGCTTTTATATGAGTGCACAATTGCTGTAAGAAAGTCATACCTATATTCCAGGACTACAGGTAGTTTTTTTTTAGAAAGAAAATTTTTTAGAAAAATCATATTAGAGTTTATATAGAACTCTGGAGAAAAAGTGAGGTTGTCATATGATAAAACAAAAGGAAGGTGAATGATCTGAAGCTGCAATTTAATGCCATCAGAGGATGTTTGATAATTTTAGAAAGAGGTTTGGCTTAAAAAATGTCAAGATAAGAGAGAAACAGCTTCTGCTGACCAAGAGGCTGCAGATGTTCCCCGATGCCATTAAGACCATTCAAGAGAAAGGCTATCTGTCTAAACAGGTTTTTGATGCAGACAAAAATGCCCTTTCTTGAAAAAAAATGCCACAAAGGATATTTATTAGTAAGGAAGAGACGCAAACATCAGGACTTAAGGCAAGAAGGCATAGGCTAACACTGTTTTGTACAAATGCAGTTGGGTTTATATCAATTCTGCCCTTATCTACAAACCTGCTAAACCCTGAGCCTTGAAAAAGAAAGATAAACACCAGCTGCCAGTCTTTTTGTTGTAAAATGAGAGGCCTGGACACCGAGAACCCTTTTTCTGGATTGGTTCCATTAAATTTAGGAAGCACGTTGCCAGTAATGTACTGCCTTTTAAAGTTCTTTCCATTTTGGACAATGCCCCTGGCCACCAAGATCCGTGAGTCCAACACAGAAGGTGTCAAAGTGGTCTATTTGCCCTCAAATTCAATGTCTTTAATTCAACTTCTAGATCAGAGGGTCACAAGTTTTAAGGATCATTACACATGGTACTCTATGGAAAGGATTGCCAACGTGATGGAAAAAAACCCCAACAAAGATAGAAAACATTATGAAAGTATACAAGGACTGCACCATTGAAAATTATTACAGAAAAAGTGGTGAAAGACACCAAGCCCAAAACAATAAATTCCTGTTAAAGAAAACTGTGTATTTGTGTGTGACCGCACAGTCTTTATGACAGAGCTGATAAGGGAAATGATGAAAGAGATTGTTGATATGGCAAAAAAGGTGGACAATGACAGGTTTCAAGATATAGATCTTAAAGAAATTCAAGAACTGATTGAAGACACCACACCAGAGGAATTAACAGAAGACTGCTTGATGGAGCTGAGTGCTTCTGAACCACTGCCAGATGATGAGGAAGTTGTAGAAGAAGCAATGCCAGAAAAATTGACATTAGAAAATCTGGCAGAAGGGTTCTGATTATTTAAGACTGCTTTTGACTTCTTTTATGACATGGACCCTTCTATAACAGGGTCACTGAAACTAAAGCAAACAGGGAAGAAGGATCGGTACGATATAGAACCATTTTTAGAGAAATGAAAAAGAGTAAGACAGAAATTATGATATATTTCCATAAAGTTAGACCGAGTGTGCCTGCCTTTCCTGCCTCCCCTTCCACCTCTTTCACCTTTGCCATGCCTGAGGCAGCAAAACCAACCCCCCTCTTCCTCCTCCTCCTCAGCCTACTCAATGTGAAAACAACAAGGATGAATACCTTTATAGTGATCCACTTCCACGTAATCAATAGTAAATATATTTTCTCTTAAGATTTTTTTTTTCTTTTTTTGAGACAGAGTTTTGCTCTCGTTGCCCAGGCTGGAGTGCAATGGCGCCATCTCGGCTCACTGCAACCTCCACCTCCCAGGTTCAAGTGATTCTCCTGCCTCAGCCTTCTGAGTAGCTGAGATAACAGGCACCTGCCACCACGCCCGCTTAATTTTTGTATTTTTAATAGAGACGGGGTTTCACCATGTTGGCCAGGCTGGTCTCGAACTCCTGACCTCAGGTGACCCACCTGCGTCGGGCTCCCAAAGTGTTGGGATTACAGGGGTGAGTCACCATGCCTGGCAGGATTTTCTTAATAACATTTTCTTTTCTCTGGCTTACTTTATTGTAAGAATACTGTATAGAACACATGTAACATAAAAAATGTGTTGATTGTTTGTGTTATTGTTTAAGGCTATTAGTTCAATTTGGGGGGAATCAAAAGTCATACTCTGATTTTCGACTCTGTGGTGAGGGAGCTTCTGCACCCCTAAACCCTGTATTGTTCAAGGGTCAACTATATACTGATATGCATCCAGTGTGTACCTGTTAAGGAAGAGACAAATGTAAGGGGCTCTCTCTAAAAATTATACCGGTAACTTGGAAATATAAGAATCAACAGTCGCATGTAGTCAGCTTGTGTAAAACTCTTTGGTTTGACTACATTATCCTTTAGATATTAATTATGAAATCACTGGTGCTTAAAAAGAACCACAAAATCCAAGTTAGAAGATCATGTGGTTCAGAAGCCCCCAAATGCAGCCTCATTAGGTAACAGCTTTGGGTATATCGCATATACTAGGTTTGCTAACATTACCAGCAATGAGGGGCACAAAGAAATGAATGTCTGGATTTACAGTCAACACTCTCCCATCTTCTGTCTCCATCCCCCTCAACCCTATAGGCACCCTGATCTGAAGATACTAACATCTGTGTATCACTCCACAATTCACATATGCATTTTTTTTCTATTTTACAAGAAAATAGAGTTTTGTTTTGTTTTGTTTTGTTTTTTGAGACGGAGTTTCACTCTTGTTGCCGAGGCTGGAGGGCAGTGGCAGGATCTCAGCTCACTGCAACCTCTGCGTCCCGGGTTCAAGCGATTCTCCTGCCTCAGCCTCCTGAGTAGTTAGGATCACAGGTGCCCGCCACACCTGGCTAATTTTTTTTTTTTTTTTGTATTTTTAGTAGAGACGGTGTTTCCCATGTTGGCTAGGCTGGTCTCGAACTCTTGACCTCAGGTGATCCTCCTGCCTTGGCCTCCCAAAGTGCTAGGATTACAGGCGTGAGCCACCGCGCCTGGCTGAATAATTTTCTGATAACTTATTTACTCTGCCTAGCCTCACCTCTTAACAACAATCTAGTCTCATTTCAAAGATCTCTGTCCCAGTATTTGACAGTTTGGAAATATTTCCTAAAGACTAAGCAAAAAATAAGGCTTTAAACATATTTCTTCTTGTCAGGGCCTCGATAAAGACTCAATAAATAAGTACTATCATTGTATTATTACTTGTGTAAGACTCTTCCACTCTAAGACTGCCTTTCAGATATTATTCAGGTCCTTAATTCTCTTTCTTTTAAAGCTCTTTTTAAAACTAGCTCCTTAATTAGGAAATCAATGCCTTGAATCAAACCTTAACTTGACCAGATTCTACTTAAGACTGTTAAGGAATCCTATCTTATTAAGGAAGTTTTCCATGATCAGAAGACTGGGTTAGATGTTGCTATAGCACTGATATCACAGTTTTTTGGTTACTTGTCTATCTTTTCCACTGGACTGTAAATTTCTCTAGGGTAGGAGCTATGTTTTTCACTGCTTTGTCCCTTAGTTTAGCATAGTATCTAGCATAGTACCTGTTACGCACTCAATGAACTTTTCTGAATCAATGAATCAATGAACTAATGAGGTTAATTTGGCACTACTAGTCTTTAGATTTTTAGATTCATAACAGGATATGAATAATCAATGATTTTATATTTAATTTTGGTGTAATGTTTTTGTACAGCACTAACCTTGACCATGTTTTGGATGTGTTGTTTGGACTTTTCTCAGCACATTCAAAGAGTGGGAGATATAGCCATAAGCTAAATTTAGGTTCACCTTAATTTAATAATAAATCATCACATAAATATGATGAAATTAATATTATGGTAAGAGAAGGATATATTCTTATCTATACAGTAACAGAACCAGGCTCTTACAAATATTTGATGTTTTGAAAAGTCACTCAGTAGTTTAAACAGTGCTATTTTGTGTGCATCTTCAATAATCAGTTGAATGCCTCATACATTCCAAGCACTGTCCTAGGCACTGAAGACACAGTAGTAAACAAAATAGACATAGTACTTCTCTTCCATGAGTGTATACTGTAATGGGGAAGGTAGGGAATCAACTAGCTGGATGCAATGGAACAGTGGCCACTGTCTCTGGACTCAAACCAGGGCACCAATCCTTGCTCCTCTGCATAATATCTGGGTGACTTTAGGCAAGTTAACCTTTTTGGGTCTCCTTTTTATCATATATAAAGTGGTGATAAGAATGGCGCCTAGTGTGGTCATAAGGATTAAATGAAAAAATGTCAGTAAATGCTTAGCCCAGCGCACAGTACCTGCTAAATACTAAATAAATGCTATTTATTATTATAATAAAAGTAACTACAAGTGTCCATGAGTCTTATAAAAGGGTAAGTACAAGATTGTATGGAATCATAAAACAGGAAGAGCTAGTCTAGTCAGGAGGCCCTAAAAATTATAGGAATCAGCTAGGAAAGTTAGGGTGGGTGAGTAGAGTGTTAAGAATATCTTGGGGACAGAGAATAGTGTTATGAAACAACGCTGGAGGACCTTCTAAGTCAAAGAGTAATTTTGAACCTTGTCCACCTTATGCAAAATGGCAATTGTAAGCCATTAAAAGGCTGAATTGTGAGAGCTGATTGTTAACAGAAAATCTGTGAGCCAGTTGTTAAACACAGCCATTATTAAAATTAAATTAATATAAAGTTGCAATTAAATAAATTAAAATGATAAGGTAATGAATACCAAAATCCCCAAATTTCCTAGTGATTTTACTGTTACCTTTACTCTTAAGGTTGTCTGTTTTATCTGTATGGTGGAAGTACTACAGAATAGTGTGAGACTGCACATCTCTTCCCAACTCCATAATCAGTGATGTTATATTGATAGCTTGAAACTAGACTTGGTAGTAGTATTTACATCATAGAAGGTGGGGAAACACTACAAATCAGGGCTTTTTCCCCTCCCTAGAGAACCATTTATTAAATATTTAGCAACATACTATTGATTATAGAAGAGTGGCTAGGAGTGCATGGATGGAAACAGTGAGCCAGTTAAAAGCCTACTGTAATAATCTAATCAAGGGGTAATGGTGAGAAGTCAAGGGAGGAAGACTTCCAAGTTTCCAGATGGGTAGTGTCTTCATTTACTGAGAAACAGAGTACAGGAAGTGGGGGTATGTTTGGGGAAGGGCAGTTTGTCAATATAGATAACAAATCTGGGTAACTAAAAGACCAGAGAAATACTGAGTAGACACTTGCCTATAGGTCTAGAACTCATTAGACAGAGATGGACTGGAGATACTGATTTGGGAGGCATCAACAAGTAGATGCTGAGACCACAGAACAGCTGAAATTATTTTGATATGAGTGTGAAGACCTGGGTTAAGGAGTAGAGAGAAGAGTAGCAAAGGAGATTGAAGACAGGCCAAAAAAGTAAGAAGATAATCATAAAATTAGTGTCAATTAATTTAAAAGTAGAGAGTATTTCAAGGAGGAAATGATCACACACCATGAAAAATGAATGTAGAGAGACATAAAGGTCATGTTAGCAAGAGCAATTTCAGATTACTGGGGAGACTTAAGACTAGAGTTGGCTAAGAGGTAAAAAAGATAGAGACAGTAAGTTTAGGCAAAATAACTTGCACATGGAGATACAGAAGTCTACTAATAGCCAGGCGCAGTGGCTTATGCCTGTAATCCCAGCACTTTGGGAGGCCGAGGCAGGTGGATCACGAGGTCAGGAGTTCAAGACCAGCCTGGCCAATATGGTGAAACCCAGTCTCTTCTAAAAAAATATAAAAATTAGCCAGGCATGTGGGCATGCACCTGTAGTCCCAGCGATTTGGGAGGCTGAGGCAGGAGAATCGCTGGAACCCAGAAGGTGGAGGTTGCAGTGAGCCGAGATCGCACCACTGTACTCCAGCCTGGGTGACAGAATGAGACTCTATCTCAAAAAAAAAAAAAAAAAGTCTACTCATGTCCCAGTAGTAAAGGAGTGAATCAATTGAACCTGGTTTGTATTTATGAAATAGGAATGTATTTTTATTATAATGAATACTATTTTAAGACCTAAATTTCTGAGGTTACACATGAAAATATTCAATTCATAGGCAAGTTTTATGCATGTTATTGTACCACCATCCATCTTTTTTTTGTTTTTTCTTGACCCTGGCAATACAGGGTCTCACTGTATTGCCCAGGCTGGAGTACAGTGGCACAATCACAATTCAGTGCAGCCTAAACTTCCCCAGTTCAGGCAGTCCTCCCACCTCAGCCTCCCAAGTAGCTGGGACTACAGGCACGCGTCACCACGGCCAGCTAATTTTTTGTATTTTTTTGTAAAGACGAAGTTTCACCATGTTTTCTAGGCTGGTCTCAAACTCCTGGGCTCAAGTGATCAGCCCACCCTGGCCTCCCGAAGTGCTGGGATTACAGGTGTGAGCCAACACACTGGGTTAAACATTGTTATTGGTGTCTGGACTACCCTCTCTCATCTATCCAAATTACTAAATTCAGTAGTTTCTCCTAGAACATTTCTCAAATCTGTCCCCTCCTCTCCAATTCTACTCTAATATCACCCTAGTCTAGAAAATTGGGTGGACTTTCCTTGTTTTATTTACTACAGCTTCCTAACTAGTTTTTCTCTGTCAGCTCACACCTTCTCTAATCCAATGCTGATTGTGCCAGCAACTGAGTACAGGGTTTAGTTTAGTTGACGTTGTAACAAGATTTCCCTGTGAAGGAAAAAATAGGTACATTAATATTCTGTAATAAGTTCCTTTCTCATCAAGTTCATTCCCGATGATGCTTGACCAGCACTTTCAGTAACACTACGATTCTCTACACTGCAACCAGAGGACTTTTTAATATGCAAATCTAATCGTGCCATTCTTTTTTTAAACCCTCCATGGCTTCTTAAGTACTCTTAGGATAAAACAGAAAATACTTAAGTAGCATACAGGACCAAATCTGTCATCCTTTGGTCTCATTTGAAATATCACATCCTTTGAGAAGTGTTCTTTGACTTTCCAAGACTAAGTCAGGTTTCTTCTGTGGCACTTAATTATAATGATTTATGTCTTTCTCCACCACTAAATTCTAAACTCCAGGAGGATTAGAATTTTCTGGATCCTTAGCACAATGTCAGGTAATTAGGAACTCCGTACATACTTGATGGATGAATGAACAAAGCACTACATATGCATGAACTAGTTTAAAAACAGAAACATCACAAGATTTTTTTTAAGTGGCAGCTTTTAATAAAAGTACAGTTCGTAATAGTGAGGTAGGGAAAAAGGTCAAGGATATAATTTCTACATACTAACATCACATACGTTGTTAGGTATATAAAATATATAAAATCAGGACCGGTGTCACTTAACTTTTTAATGTGTCTTTTCTTGAGGCACGTGGCAGGCACTTGCAGAGAAGGTAAACATTTACAGAGTACCTGTTATTTTCCAAGCATTGTTCAAAGTGCTTTCAAGAGTTCTGGTTTGACAGAACTAAAGAATTTTGATTTTTCTTCCAGCAAACAAAAGAAAACCTAGGTTCTTTTTATTACTCTGTTCTAGTAAGAACAGAAAGGTTATCTTTTGCACTTTAATTAACATCGCTTAATTCCATGGCTATCAAAGATGACTCAATTCCTCCGCAGAATTACTATGTGACTATTAGAAATCTAAATGCCTCCCAAGTCAATTCATCTAGTGAGAATTTCCTAATTTTAACGGGAACACAGCAGGCTTTTACGGTGATTGCTGATTGAATGGGAAGATCTCTTTCTCCCTTACGGCGTCATTCATGTCAAGACCCGGTCTAACAGAGGAATAAAAGAGTAGAAAATTACGATATCCTCCTGTTACTTTTTTACTAAGGGGTAATCACCAAACAGTACTTGGATTTCTTTTAGAAAATGAGTAAAGCTTCCCCGAAAGCAGGGAAAAATTGGGCAGATTTGAGAAAAACAAAGGACGTATGATGCTTCCCTGCTACCAGCTGGGAAAGTTATTAGAATTAGGAGAATCCTCCTGTTCCTTCCACACAAGCGATAGCCAGAATAGGAACTCCAGTTTCCGTCACCCCCACTCCCTGCCCAGGTTACCTGTGGAAGCTGATGTTAATGTGCTTGTTGTAGGTAGTGGCACAGCCCGCCGCGGCGCAATTGGTCGGCATTTCCCTTTCCCACTCATTCAGCGCCCTTAAGTCTCTACTGAGGCGCTGGCTGCTAAGCTTCCTTCGGGCAGAGGCTGGACAATCGAGGCAGGCGTGCCTTAATCGTGAGAGCTTAGTCGTGAGAGCGGAGTGGGAAGAAGGGGTGTGTATATGGGGGCGGAGGCGAGGGAGGGTCAGCCTTCCCTTTCTCTTTATTAATATGGCGGACTAGAGCCCACAGAACTGGCCCTCCTGGAGCTCTAGTCGCCTTCGCTTGACTTCACCAACATGGCGGACACAACCCGTTCTTTCTCCCCGCCCCCAAAAGGGAGCGGATCTACTGCGTTTCTTCGGCAGCGGTCCTCACAGCAATTAAAAGGAAGTGTTTTCCCCTCCGATTACTATAAATTATAAGAGTTTTACAATAAAACTCTCTCAAGGATGCAACTAAGAGCAGCTCCACCTACTTCTGCATGCACCCAGCTGTACCAGGCCAGGTCCTGCAGTGGGTGTGACCCGTGGACCGGAAGAGTGAACCCGAAAAAAGAAGAAAGACTACAAATCCTAGTGAGTATCGAGTGGTGTTATTATCGCGTGAACTGTGAGCCTTTGTTTCCTGCGTGTCGCAGGAAGTGACGTTTCGGGTACAGCCGCTACCAGAGTCCCTTTCTCGCGAGGCGGAAGAACCCCGATCGCTGAGGAGCAAGGGGGCGCTAGGAAAAGGAACTGGGTTGCGACGGTCCGGCGAGAGAGAGCTGGGGTGCGGGGAAGTTGGGGAACAGAGGCCGCTAGGTGTCCGAGCAGGGTAAGACCGCACCGACCCGGCGGAAACGAGGCAATTGTCGGGCGGATCCCCGGACGGAGAGCTAAGGTTGTGTGGAAGGCGCTGCTCCCCGGATGGCGACCGCAGATACTCCGGCCCCGGCCTCCAGTGGCCTCTCGCCGAAGGAAGAAGGGGAGCTGGAAGATGGGGAGATCAGTGACGACGATAATAACAGCCAGATACGGAGCCGGAGCAGCAGCAGCAGCAGTGGCGGCGGGTTGTTACCCTATCCGCGGCGAAGGCCTCCTCACTCGGCCCGGGGCGGTGGATCCGGCGGAGGCGGTGGCTCTTCCTCGTCATCGTCCTCTTCTCAGCAGCAGCTGAGGAATTTCTCACGCTCGCGGCACGCGTCTGAGCGGGGCCACCTCAGGGGACCCAGCAGCTACCGACCCAAAGAACCATTCCGGTCTCATCCGCCCTCTGTACGGATGCCTTCGAGTTCACTGTCCGAAAGCAGTCCCCGGCCGTCTTTCTGGGAGCGGAGCCACCTCGCCTTGGACCGTTTCCGCTTTCGAGGCAGGCCTTACCGGGGTGGGAGTCGCTGGAGTCGGGGGCGAGGAGTGGGTGAGCGAGGAGGCAAGCCGGGGTGCAGACCCCCTCTGGGAGGAGGAGCAGGATCCGGGTTCAGCAGCAGTCAGAGCTGGCGAGAGCCCTCTCCACCTCGGAAGAGCTGTATCCTTAACGTGGCGGTCGGCGCTGGGTGTGTCACTTACCAAAGTTCCCTTTAGCGTCATTACTAGGTCTGTGAGACGAGTGTAACTTTGAATCATCAGAACCGCTGATTTCTCCCTGTGTCAGTATACTTAAAGTAAGTTGTTCTTTGGTAATTCCCCGTGTGTCACACTATAGCGTTATTGTTAAGACTGCTTCATTGGATATATTAACGTGCTATGGACTGGGTTAAGCTAATGAAATCCAAGACAGTTAAGTCTGATTTGTAATAATACCTTAGAAGCCCGACTTTCATTAGCATTTGTATTTTTGCTGGGACAGAAACTTTGTATTTTATGTGAAGTTGACATATTGTTAGAGAAAAAAATATTCATAACCAGTTTGGGGAATACTGTTGCTTTATCATATTGCGGTTTGACATTGAAAATTGTAAAAGTTTCAGTCTGCGCAGTCCTGCACTATTTTTGTGATGCTGTTTTTATCTTGATTTATTCCGGTTGCTGCCTTTTAAATTGCGGGGGCGGGGGGGGGGAGGTTAAAAAAAACACTCTGGTGTCTTTAACAGGTCTGTTTCAGAGCTTTTTGATTCATTTGATCTTTTTGGAACGCTTTACCTCCTTTACGTTCGTTTGTATCTGTGTTCACTTTTGCGCATTGTGTAACTCTTCGTGCTGACTAAATGAGGGCCAGAAAGAGAAAGATAAACTTATCAGCATTTTTATTTTAATACGTTAGAGTGGAGGAATGTTAGATTACGGATACTTTGAGAAAGGAAATAGTAACATACCAGATTTTTGCTACTTCTAACCTTATTCTCAGTTTTAAACATTACTGAGTTTACTCAGGATTTATACAGAGGAATCAGTCATCCGAAGGTTTCCTGTTTTATAATGGGTTTGTAAAACACTATCTTGACTCACACTGTGACCATTGCAAAAGTTTAAAGACTTTCATTACTGGTTGTAATTCCCATAGTGTGATTTTTAATTTCGTCATTATATATGAAACTTAAAAGTAATGACAGTTATTTGGAAGACAATCAGAATTACTTTTATAGAACACTTAGGTCCAGAATAGGTTTTTCTCAAATGTCATGATGTAAAAGGGGCAAGGAATGTACATTTAGGTAAGAAACAGCAGCTTCTGATGCTAGTCCCCTGAAAAACCTTACTTCTGCAACGAAAAGTTGGGTTAGGAACATTTTAGGATTGTTTCAGAGAAAATCATGTAGGCGCTGGGCGTGGTGGCTCACGCCTGTAATCCCAACATTTTGGGAGACCAAGGCGGCGGATCACTTGAGATCAGGAATTCGAGACCAGCCTGGCCAACATGGTGAAACCTTGTCTCTACTAAAAATAAAAAAGTTAGCCAGCGTGGCATTGGGCGCCTGTATTTCCAGCTACCCGGGAGGCTGAGGCAGGAGAATCGCTTGAGCTCGGGAGGCGGAGTTTTAGTGAGCAGAGATTGCACCTCTGCACTCCATCCTGCGCGGTAAAGCGAGACTCCGTTTCAAAAAAAGAAAAGAAAAGAAAATTATATAGATATTTAACTTTTTAAAAGCCAGCACATGGTTCTTCCAAGAAGGTTAGAAAACCTCTGTCTACGGTGTTTCTTAATCCATGGATTTGTAGTCTATTTTCAATCCAAACACCAGAAAGGCTATTTGAGCATATGTGTGTGTATGATTTTAAAATTTTTTCAATTAAAAAAATTTTTATTAAATTTATTTAAAAAAATTTGGAGAGACGAGGTCTTGCTATGTTGCCCAGGCTGATCTTGAACTTGTAGCTTCAAGAGATCCTCCTTCCTCGGACTCCCAAAGTGCTGGGATTTATAGGCGAGAGCCACCAGTCTATATGTGTTTTGTAAAGGTACAAAGAGGAAAACTGTAGTTTGTATTAGGGAAACAAATGAAAATAAGTAGTTGTAGTTTAGTATAAAAAGTTGAAACGGAGGTATGTGTATAAAAAGTACTATGGGAGCTCAAAAGTTTTTCTTAAAAGTTTTATTCTGTGTTAGAAAAGGGGGAGGTGAGTGGGCTTTCTGCTTTTGTCCTCTTTCTGCGTGTTTATTCAATACTATTTTGGGCCTCTACCATAGACCTTTATTAATTGGTAAGCTTGTATGTTTTTATTAGTAAACTGACATATGATGTTGCAAAAAAAAAAAAAAAAAAAAAAAGTACCGGAAAATATCCAGTCTGTGTGACTTTGATTTCTGTAGTAACTTGTCATAAATAAGATATCTTACTGTTTTTCTTTTGACAGATGCCGCACTTAAAAGGATGCTTGTTTTGATCCTCTGCTCATTGTTTTCCTCATGAAGTATCACTGATTCATCCTAGAGATGGTGTTCTTTTTAAGAATTTGAGAAGGAAAACGTAGTTTCCAGCTACTTTTGTATAATGTGAGCAAACAAAATATTTGTTACAACACTTTATTCAAATTTATTTAATATCAAGATTGTACTCAGTTTAATTCATATTTCCATTGTGTGATTATAATAATACCTTTTTTATGTTGCAAATACTGTATAAAGAAATAATGCAGGTTATTCTGTGGCATATTTTTATAATTTAGAAGTAAAGTAGCCTGAGTATAGGGTTTTTTTATTTCTGTTTTTGTCATAACTCCTTTCACTGTAATAACTAAGATATGCTAGTTGCAACTTTGAAGAAATAGAATAAACTAAATTCAATTGCAGTTCTTATTTTCATCCTTAATTTTTCTTAATGATAGACACTTTGTCAGTACATCTTAGCCTGTCTCCCTTGAATGACTGCTCTTTTAAACTTTCAAATCTGATGAGAGCTAACATAATTAGGCCAGTGTCTCTCATCAGTAAAAAGTCATTCCATTTTCAGCTGCAGCTGAAAAGGTTGAATAGCACTTCTTTTTGTTTAAACCAAGGTTCAGTTAGAAATTGTATCTTGACAAGCATAAAATTAAATCTGGTAAGTGTTGGTTTGATCTTAGCTATTCTGTGTAGATAGGGGTAGATTTTCTTTAGCCTTAAAGGAGATTAGTCAGTTATAGTTGTAACTCAATTGCTTTTCCTTATTTTTCTATTTAGCATTTTTGTTAGTATATTTAATCATTTCCCTTTGCAGATATTTCCAAGGTCTTCAGTCTTTTTTTTTTTTTTTAACTGCAGTTGTGCCTTTAAATGACTCCAGTGAAAAGTAAGATATAAATGCAGATAATTACAGAACTTACGTACAAAGAGTGCATAAGAGGGGAAAGGGGAGTGAGAAACTCTGCCTTCATAGACGTGACGCTCGAATTGGGGTTAAGTTGAAGAACAGACAAACTTAGACACAAAGCTATGCAAAAATTGTGATGAAAGGGGAAAAAGTAAGTTTGGAAAGGAAAGCACAGGTCAGATTATATTTATTCTCAGGATTTTGGACTTTTTTATTAGTGAAATTTAAACAAGGGGCGTAATCTTATATTTTTATTCTAGAAAGATTACTCTGGCAGCAGCAGTATGAAGGATGGCTTGTAGGAGATAAGAGAAATATCTTTTCACCAGGGTAAACTCTCCTGTGGTAGGTAGAACGGTGGAGGTGCTGCATTAGAATGCTCAAAATAAGAAGAGAAAGAGGCTAAGTAGTGCTCCCTGAAGAGCACCATTATTTCACAAGTTAGAAAGGACTCAATGGAGACTTAAAAGACAAAAAACAAATAGGGAAACAAAGGGAAACGGGGAGTTACGGAAGCCAAGAGAGAAGTGGTTTATGGTGTCAGATTCTCATAGGGGTCAGGTAAAAAAAAAATAAGGTTTGAAAACATTGATAAGGAAACTTAGCCACAGCAGTCTCTCTAGATTAATGGGACAGAAACCAGATTCCATTTGGTAAGAAGGGTACAGAGAAACTAGTTTTCTTCTAAGAAACTTGACTTTGAAGAGATCAGAAAACCAGAGATTTACTAGAACAGTTTTGCTGTAGAACTGTTAAGATTTTCAGATGTACTTACTGCTTATTTTTGTTTCTCAAATGATGGTAATTCTCATTTTTAGAACTGATCATCAGGAGAGTTTAAAAACCTTTTCTGCTGCTTGTCCTGTGAGGAGTTTAAACAGAAGAACCATATTTGGGGTACTGAATTGTTACATTCTAGCCAACTGAAAATGATCTATAGGCTGGGTGTGGTGGCTTATGCCTGTAATCCCGGCACTTTGGGAGGCTAAGGCAGGCGGATCACCTGAGGTCAGGAGTTCAAGACCAACCTGGTCAACATGGTGAAACTCCATCTCTACTAAAAATACAAAAATTAGCCGGGCATGGTGGCACGCACCTGTAATCCAAGCTACTTGGGAGGCTGAGGCAGGAGAATTACTTGAGCCCACGAGACGGAGGTTGCAGTGACCAGGATCGCGCCACTGCACTCCAGCCTGGCTGACAGAGCAAGACTGTCTCAAAAAAAAAAAAAAATCTATAAATGGTATATTAAAACCCTAGGAGGTGCTGTCTTTTCTCTTGCTAATATCTGGTCTGGAAAAATGAGGTATAACAATTCTCATGTATGAATTGTTTAGAATAAAAATTGTAGTTTGAAATTGTGTAGCTGTTTCTAAGGAAGAAGTTACTTTTCGTGTATCACTGTGTTAGAGAAGAAAATAAGAACAGTTGCTTCAGATTATTTTCATTACATTGTCCCTTCTCTGTAGGGGAAAAATAGGAGATATATTTTGAGTACTATTTTAAAGTGTTTTTTTTTTTTTCTTTTTTTTGAGATGGAGTCTCCCTCTGTTGCCCAGGCTGGAGTGCAGCCGTGGGATCTTGGCTCAGTGCAGCCTCTGCCTCCTGGGTTCAAGCAATTCTCTTGCCTCAACTTCTCAAGTAGCTGGGACTACAGGCCTGCACCACCATGCCTGGCTAATTTTTATATTTTTAGTAGAGATGGGGTTTCACCGTTTTGGCCAGGTTGGTCTTGAACTCCTGACCTCAAGTGATCCTCCTGCCTCGGCCTCCCAAAGTGCTGGGATTACAGGCGTGAGCCACCGCGCCCGGCCCCCTGAAGTGTAAATTATCCACATCTGTGACAAACCATTCAGTTTCTCACTTCTTCATTCAGAAAATAATCTTTAACATACAGCTAGTTATGACTTTCCTGGCACTTACAGAAGGAAGGATGCTATAACCTAACTAGGTGGACTATCTGTGGATACTACTGGTAATTATGACACTAGTGATTTTGTAAGTGGACTATTTATATGGTACTTATTAAATTCAAATATGGGCACCTAATGAAAGTGGGTATTAGCTGCACATACATTAAATGGAATTTAGTAATTTAAAAATATCGATTCGTTTTTCTTGAAAAATTAAAAAGGGAGAAAATTCATCCATAATCTATGTTTTTTTTTTTTGTTAAATTTAACTGTGGAAAATTTTTGGAAACTGGTTTCCTTAATATGCTGCTCAGCCAAAAGTTTTGGAAGGTCTCCATCAAGAAAACAAAATTATTCATCAAAAAGTGAAAACTGTGTGGAAGAAACTTTTGAAGATTTGCTTTTAAAGTATAAGCAAATACAATTGGAACTAGAATGCATCAATAAGGATGAAAAACTAGCATTGAGTAGCAAAGAAGAGAATGTGCAGGAAGATCCTAAAACATTGAACTTTGAGGACCAAACTAGCACTGATAATGTCAGTATTACAAAGGATTCAAGTAAAGAAATAGCTCCTGAGGAGAAAACACAAGTCAAAACTTTTCAGGCATTTGAATTAAAACCACTCAGGCAAAAATTGACTTTACCAGGAGATAAGAACCGTTTGAAAAAAGTTAAAGATGGAGCAAAACCGCTTTCCCTGAAATCCGACACTACTGATTCTAGTCAAGGTAATGGAATTAAATATTTCAGTTAGTAATGACTGTTCTTTCTCTAAAGGAGTAACTACTTGTTTTGGTAGTGTACTTCATTTAAATGATTGTACGCTCATTTAAATGATTGTAATTATTTGTAAATTTTGTACTTTCTGTGTAGACATATTATTGAATAATTACTAATTTTGTTTACTTTTAGTCTTTATTTCTTTATTTTTTTTTGCCTGACATGCTGGCCTCTATAATAGAATGTCCATAAGTGATAATAGTGGACACCTTTGTTTCCTAACCAAAGAAAATGGTTTTGACATTTGTCATTAAATATGATGTTAATTTTTTTGTAGGTATCCCTTATGGGGTAAAGGAGGGTTTTACTCCTATTCCTAGTTTGAAATTTTCAGTGTGAATGGATGTTGAAGTTTACAAAATCTTTTTTCTTCATTATTGGGATGAGCATCTAATTTATCCTAATTTGTTAGTGTAATGAATTATATAATTTATTTCTAGTATTAAACCACCCTTGTATGCTTGCGTTTAATACAGTTTATGATATACCATTTTTAAATCATGGATTTGGCTTTTTTCTTTTCCCCTTTATTTTTAAGATATAATTTATATACAGTAAAATTTACCTTTTAACATTATAAATGTGTGTGTAGTTCTTCAGGTTTTGACAAATGCAGACAGTGCGTAACCATCACCAGCCACCATTAATATACAGAATTCTTTCATCAACCTCAAACAGTTTCTCCAAGTGTCTTTGTAGTTATCCCCTCCCTCAGCCCTTAGTTCACCTGGTAACCACTGATTTGTCCCTATAGTTTTGCCTTTTCCAGAATGTCACATTAATGGAATCATACAGTATATTGCCTTTGATTATAACTTCTTTCATTGAACATAATGTGTTTGAAATTCATTCATGTACTTGTATATGTCAGTAGTTCTTTTTTGTTGAGTATCCCATCATACTATAGTTTATCCATTTCCCAATTATGTTTGGGTTTTTCCAACTTTCCGCAATTACAAATGAAGGTTTGCTAGTGTTTTGTTTAGAATTTTACAGGCTATGTTCATAGCCTGTAATTTTTTCCCCCCTCTTTTTCCTTGCCAGTTTTTAGTGTAAGGTTGTGATACTCAAATCGGTTGGGGCTGGTTTCATCTTTATTCTCTGCAATAGTTTAAGATTGGAAACATTCTGAGATACTTGGTAGGTCTTGCTGCTAAGTGTCTGAGCCTGGGTGGAGTTTTTTTCCGAGAAGGTTTTAATCTGACTTTTCGTGTTTTCTATTTCTGTTAAGGCAGTTTATGTAAACTATATATTTTTTGTAATGTGTCTTTCCTATCAGTTATAGAAGTTATAAAAATTATTCTTAAGAATCTTTACTTTTTTATCTGTAGTATTTATAAATTGTATCTTTTTTTCCCTGCTCTCTTATTTAATTTCCCTTGAAATAAGTACATAGGTTCTTAAACTTTAATTTCCCCTGAAATAAGTATATAGGTTTTTTCTCTGCTCTCTTCTTTAATTTCCCCTGAAATAAGTACAGAGGTTTTTCAGCCTCTCTCCTATTAAGATCATTTTAGGCCATCAAATTTGACTTTAGTTCTGTCTCAATCAAGTTGGGATGTTTAACTTTTTTCATTCGTTCTAAATATTTTCTAATTTTTATTTTTCATTGACTTGTAGGCTACTTGAAAGTGTTTCTTCGAAACATGTAGGTTGTCTAGCAGTGTTTTTTATTGATATCTAAGTCGATCATACTGTCAGAAAATAAGATTGCTATGATAACCAATCTTTTGAAATACTTAAAGACTTCCTTTATTGTCTAGTATGTAATCAGCTCTTGTAAGAGTTCTGTGTATGTTTGAAA